TCTAAGACTTCTTTGGCGTTCGCTACAGTGGTAAAGCGGGGACGCTCAGACAGGGGAAGTGCGTGACTGATTGCAAGCTGCGCAACTGCATCGTGCGACTCCCAGACAGCGCGAGCAAGTGCAGTAGTGGAAAAGGTTTCACGCTCAACAGTCGTGGGGGTGTTAGGGAGGGCAACAGCCTCAGCAGGGCAGGGGAGCAAGCCATCAACATGAACAGTCAGGGAGTGACCGTCCTGGCGCTGACCTGTAAGGTGCCGGCGCAGGTCAACGAGCCAAGCCTCAAAGTCGATCGCCCGGCCCTCCACGTCCTGGCGGAGCAGGGAGTCTGCCGTCACCCCGGCTGCAGCAGCTGACCATCGCTGAGAGGAGGAAAGGCGAAAGAAGGCAGCTGAGAGCGATGGAGAGTGGTGGAGTGCGGTGGAGAGCGATGGAGTACGGTGGAGAGCGGTGGAGTGCGGTGGAGTGTGGTAGAGAGCGGTGGAGTACGGTGGAGTGCAGTGGAGTTCGGTGGAGAGCAGTGGAGAATGCCGGCAGATGTGCCGGCTCAGAAGGGAGCCAAGGACAGTAGGTCGGGGCAGAGCATCGCGGCGGCGCAGCTATTCGGCGGCTCGGCGGTATGGCGACGCGGGGTCGGTGCGGGCTGTGGCCTGCGGAGCAGGGGGCGGTGGCGCTGGGAGCCTCTGAGTGAGGGGCCGGCGGTGCGCCCAGGGCTAGCGGGGCGCACAGGGCTAGCAGGGCGAACGAGGCTAGAGGGGCGCACGGGGCTAGCAAGGCGCACGGGGCTAGTAGGGGACGCTTAGACAGGGGAAGTGCGCGACTGATAGCAAGCTGCGCAACTGCATCGCGCGACTCCCAGACAGCGCGAGCAAGTGCAGTAGTGGAAAAGGCCTCACGCTCAGCAGTGGTGGGGGTGTCAGGGAGGGCAACAGGCTCAGCAGGGTGGGGGAGCAGGCCATCAATATGAACAGTCAGGGAGTGACCATCCTGGCGCTGACCTGTAAGGTGCCGGCGCAGGTCGATGGGCCAAGAAGCCTCGAAGTCGATCGCCTGGCCCTTCGCGTCCAGGCGGAGCAGGGAGTCTGACATCACCCCGGCTGTAGCAGCTGACCGTCGCTGAGAGGAGGAAAGGTGAAAGAAGGCAGCTGAGAGCGGTGGAGAGCAGTGGAGTGCGGTGGAGAGCGATGGAGTACGATGGAGAGCGATGGAGTGCGGTGGAGTGTGGTAGAGAGTGGTGGAGTACAGTGGAGTGCAGTGGAGTGCGGTGGAGAGCAGTGGAGAGCAGTGGAGAATGCCGGCAGATGTGCCGGCTCAGAAAGGAGCCAAGGATGGTAGGCCGGGGGCGGCAGAACGTCATGGCGGCGCAGCTATTCGGCGGCTCGGCGGTACGGCGACGCGGTGGCTGGACGGCGCAGGGCCGGTGCGGGCTGTGGCCGGCGGAGCAGGGGCCGGTGGCACTGGGGGCTGGTGAGTGAGGGGCCGGCGGTGTGCCCAGGGCTAGCGGGGCGCACGGGGCTAGCAGGGCGCACGGAGCTAGAGGGGCGCACGGGGCTAGCAGGGCACACGTGGCTAGCAGGGCGCACGGGGCTAGAGGGATGCACGGGGCTAGCACAGTGCTAATGGGGCCAGCGGGGCGCGCGTGGCTAGTGGGGTGCGACGGGTCTAGCGGGGCGCGAACGGGGCCAATGGGGCACACGGGGCTAGAGGGGCGCGACAGGGCTAGCGGGGCGCACACTGGACCAGCGGGGCGCGAACGGGGCCAGCGGGGCGCACGGGGCCAGCGAGGCGCACGGGGCTAGCGGGGCTCGACGGGGCCAGCGGGGCGCTAACTGCAGGGCGAACAGGGCCAGCGGGGCGTACGGGGCTGGCGGGGCGCACGGGGCTAGCGGGGCTCGACGGGGCCAGCGGAGCGCTAACGGGGCCAGCGGGGCGAACGGGGCCAGCGAGGCGTACGGGGCCGGCGGGGCGCACGGGGCTAGAGGGGATCGACGAGGCTAGTGAGGCGTGAACGGGGCTAGCGGGGCGTTAAGGGGCCAGCGGAGCGCACAGGGCCAGCAGGGCACTAACGGGGCCAGCGGGGCGCTAAGGAGCCCGCGGGGCTCTAAGGGGCCAGCAGGGCGTACGGGGCCAGCAGGGCGCGAAGGGGCCAGCGTGGCGCTAACGGTGCCAGCAGGGCGCTGACGGGGCGGCTAAGACTAGGCCTAAGGCGGAAGCGCGGGTGGGCGGGGGGGACCTAACCTAGCGTGATACCATGTTAATGTGAGAATGAATGACTAGAATGAGAGATACAAGGTGCTTTTGTGCTATGGGGTTGTACTCTCTAAGAGTACGCACCTATCTAGCCTATAAGATATATATATATGTATATATATATATGTGTGTTTTGACATGAACACCGTCCTGTAAATCGACAATTACAGCACGGTGTTCAAGAATGGGATTCCCTATGCTGGTACTGGACACCATAGCGCAGGAATACGCTCTAAGAATTAGGGCAAATTCCTACAGGGTCGCGTCAGGCTCACCTAGCGTCAGACTGGGCTGAGGGCCCGAACCGCGCCTCGTACTTGCTCACTTCGCGTCAGACTCAAACGCGCGTGTTTACAATCACAAAAGTGTCGTGCGATGCCACGTGCAATACATCCACTCGCGAATGTCGATTCATTGCTGAAGTCACGATTTTGGCCATGTCGATTCTGCTGTATTTCAGGAATCCCACGCCTGGCCGCCACATTCGCAAATGTCATTTCGTCCGGTTCTGATGTTTTTCAGGACATTACTCACCTGGCCGCAAGCGTCCCTGCGGTGTTCCAGCTACGCAGGGCACACGCTGATCAGCGTGTCCCGCCATTTTCTTTTCTACCTAGCTTTAACCTAATACTAAGATAGTTTCAGAGCAGGATGATCCTACAAAGCCTCCTCATCACGCTTCCACAGCGTACTCTCTCCCCTCCCGTCACTTTCGCGCCACCGTGGCGGCCACGTCGTGCTGTCGACGCCACGCCATGGCGGCTTCGACGCGCCAGCGCACGGACGGCAGCGGCCAGCACACCGTTTTAGGCGCCAGCCAGCACGCCCGCACGCCAGCCAGCGTGCCAGCCAGTGCGCCTCGCTGAAGGCACGCCCCTCCCTTGCGTCTCCCCTCATCCCAGCCGCAGCTGATGGCTCCCTTCTCCGTCGTCGCCGGGCCGTGCCACGCCACCGGGTGCCGCGAGCTTCGCAGTCGCCGCCGCCATCGTCAAAGCCAGCGCCGCCACTGCAGGTGCCGCAGGCTCCGCCGCCACCCGCCGCCGCTGCCGTTGTCGTAGCAGCCGCTGACGTTGTTGCTACCACCCGCCGCCGATGTCGCCGTTTCACACAAGGGCTTGGGGGTGTTGCGTGTGTGGTGTGCTTGCGCCTACCAAGCCTCGGGGGTTTGTCAACTTCTATATATTATATAGATATTTGTGTAGGCTTGGTAGCTATTCTACAATTTTGGATCCTACAGTAGAGAGAACAACCCCCCTTCTTGTACCTCTTTCTCTTTCCTAGTCGACACTCTTTTCTCTCGCCATTTTCTCTTGTACCTAGCTTAAACCTCCTTCTAACTTGTAGATGCTAGGAGATGGTGTAGATGCTAGGAGTTGCACGCGAATGGAGGAACTTTAAAAGTTCCGAAAGGAACACGTGGGGGAGGCCAAATGGGCTCAGCCGCATCTTTTGTCAACACATATATTTTGTAGATATATATGTATAGGCTAGGTAGGGCTACTACAGAGTGCTGGTTCCTACTGTAGAGGGTACATCACCCTTCTTGTATCGCTCTCTCTTGTCTAGTCCGCCCTCTTTTCTCTTGCTAAACTTCTCGCTACCTAGCTAAACCCTACTTCCCTACTTCAACATGGTTTCAGAGCAGGCTGATCCTGCTGAGCCTTCTCCTCACGCTTCCGCCGCGTACTGTCCCCCCTCTTCTCACTTTCACACCGCAGTGGCGGCCTCGTCAGGCTGCAATGGTGGCCTTGATATGCTGCCGTGGCGGCCTCGATGCGCTGCTGTGGCATCGACGCGCTGCCATGGCGGCATCATCGTGCTGCCGTGGCGGCTTCGACGTGCCAGCGCACGGACGGCAGCGGCCAGCGCACTGATCTAGCGCTGGCCAGCACGCCCGTACGCAGCCAGCGCGCCAGGCAGGGCGGCTCGCTCCCTGTCTCTGCTGCAGAAGACCCGCCCCCTCCCCTGCGTCCCCCCTCCTCCCCGCCGCAGCTGACGGCTGACTCACGCGGTCCTTCCCCGTGGTCGCGGAGTTGTGCCACGCCGCCGGGTGCCGCGGGCTCCGCCGCCGCCGCCGCACTTGCCGCTAGTTCCGCTGCCGTCTGCCGCCGCCCTAGCTGCCGACGTTGCCGCCTCACATGCCGAGGGGTCGACCGCGCTGAAGAAGCCGCCGCTGCTGCTGGGTACGGGGGTGTTGGGCTTAGAGGTGCTGTGTGTGTGGTGTGTTTTGACCTAAATTACTACTAAAACCAGTGGACAGACAAGTGGTACTGCCCTGGTCTCTTCTCTGCATATCGCCTACCAAGCCTAGGGGGGGTGTCAACATATATATGTTATAGATATATATTTATAGGCTAGGTAGGGGTACTACAGAGTGCTGGTTCCTACTGTAGAGGGTACAACACCCTTCTTGTATCTCTCTCTCTTGTCTAGTCCGCCCTCTTTCCTCTCGCTAAACTTCTTGCTACCTAGCTAAACCCTTCTTCACTAATTCAACATCTTTTACATTCACCGAAGGGGGATTAGCGCTTCGCTGTTGCATTTGTGGCACTGCAATTTCACTACGCAATTTTAGAAAGCTTCCACACTTGCAAACGCCATTAATGTTCACACCTAAAAAGGTACATTCATTCCAAAGTACAAAACGGTATATTGGGAAAAAATACAATAAATAATTAAAAAACATTATATTTCTCCCTTTATTCTTTCTTAGGGCGTATTCTTACGCACCGGGATCAGGATCAGACTTGCCCTGTACCAAGATGAACCGCACTGAAACGCAATCCCGACACTTTGCATCGCATAGTACCACACAAGTCTGATCCTGATCCAGGTTCTTATAAACTACCGGCAGTGCCTTACTTTCCTAGTCACACCATTATATGAAACTTGGGAAACTTGTATGTAGGCCCTATAAACCACCACTTGCATCTTCATTCATTGGCTTGCGTTTTCCTCTTCTTCCTCAACTGCACCCCCCTTGCTTGCTCCTCTTCCTCCTTAAGTCCCATCAAATACTCCTTAACTACATCGTGCCCAAAGGGACTATCCTCCCAACCCCCCTTGATTTTATTCCCGTCATTCTTTTCCCCAGATGCCTCTGTCCCCGCTCCAGTGCCTCCCCCCCCTCCTCCTGAATCCCTAGCTCCGAAAATTCTCTCCTTATAGCCGGCTCTCTCATTATAAGCCACCCTCAGCCTTCCTACTAACGAATGAGCACTGGCCCATGTCTGCCTTACAGGGCAGGCACATGAACCCGTAAAGGACCTGGTGCCATATAACACACATCCCTTCTGGTGAATTTTGGTCTTGCCAAATTTGTTGAAGTACTGTAGAAAGGTTGTAACGTGCTTGGGTGTACACTCTGCTAGAGAGAGAGGTGGCTGATGCTGCCGCAAATACTGTTTGAAGGTGTCCCAATCACGGGCCTTTTGGGCTTTGTAACGGCTCTCTAGGCTCTTGTGTCTTGTTTGCTTTTCCAAAGCTTGCACCTGCTGCCCCTGCTGCTCCTTCGCCTGCTGCTTCTGCTGCTGCTTTGGCTGCTGTTGTGGCTGCAGCTGCACCTGAGGCTCCTGCACGTGCTGCCCCCTCTGCTGCTGCTGCTGCTGCTGTTGCAGCTGCTCATGCTGGCCCATCTGCTGCTGTTGTTGCTGCTGCTGCTGCTGCTGCTGCTGCTGTTGCTGCTGCTCATGCTGGCCCCTCTGCCGCTGCTTCAAAAGCATCCCTCTCTGCTCCTCCTGCAGTGAGACTTGGTGAACGGGTATACGAGACGGCACATCGCAGAGTTTTCTACACTCACGGATATCTCCAGGGAACGTTACTCTAGAAGGAGGTACGCTGGGAGGAGGAATGGCTGCAAGTGATGGTGCAAGCGATGGTACAAGCGATGGTGCAAGCGATGGTGCAAGCGATGGTGCAAGCGATGGTGCAAGCGATGGAGCAAGCGATGGTGCAAGCGATGGTGCAAGCGATGGTGCAAGCGATGGTGCAAGCGATGGTGCAAGCGATGGTGCAAGCGATGGTGCAAGCGATGGAGCAAGCGATGGTGCAAGCGATGGTGCAAGCGATGGTGCAAGCGATGGAGCAAGCGATGGTGCAAGCGATGGTGCAAGCGATGGTGCAAGCGATGATGCAAGCGATGGTGCGAGCGATGGTGCGAGCGATGGTGCAAGCGATGGTGCAAGCGATGGTGCAAGCGATGGTGCAAGCGATGGTGCAAGCGATGGTGCAAGCGATGGTGCAAGCGATGGTGCAAGCGATGGTGCAAGCGATGGAGCAAGCGATGGTGCAAGCGATGGTGCAAGCGATGGTGCAAGCGATGGTGCAAGCGATGGTGCAAGCGATGGTGCAAGCGATGGAGCAAGCGATGGTGCAAGCGATGGTGCAAGCGATGGTGCAAGCGATGGTGCAAGCGATGGTGCAAGCGATGGTGCAAGCGATGGTGCAAGCGATGGTGCAAGCGATGGAGCAAGCGATGGTGCAAGCGATGGTGCAAGCGATGGTGCAAGCGATGGAGCAAGCGATGGTGCAAGCGATGGTGCAAGCGATGGTGCAAGCGATGATGCAAGCGATGGTGCGAGCGATGGTGCGAGCGATGGTGCAAGCGATGGTGCAAGCGATGGTGCAAGCGATGGTGCAAGCGATGGTGCAAGCGATGGTGCAAGCGATGGTGCAAGCGATGGTGCAAGCGATGGTGCAAGCGATGGAGCAAGCGATGGTGCAAGCGATGGTGCAAGCGATGGTGCAAGCGATGGTGCAAGCGATGGTGCAAGCGATGGTGCAAGCGATGGAGCAAGCGATGGTGCAAGCGATGGTGCAAGCGATGGTGCAAGCGATGGTGCAAGCGATGGTGCAAGCGATGGTGCAAGCGATGGTGCAAGCGATGGTGCAAGCGATGGAGCAAGCGATGGTGCTAGCGATGGTGCGAGCGATGGTGCGAGCGATGGTGCGAGCAGGTGCAGCCGGGAAGGAAGCGGATCGGAAGAAGTAGGGTGGACGCATGTGCTGGGGAGAGCTTGGAACGGAGGGAAGACCGGAAGAGGTGTGCTAGAGGCTTGTACAGAGGGCGACCTGGGGCGAGGCTGGAAGTATGAGGTGGTGTGGAGGCTGGGATATGGGGAGAATTGGGGCTGAGATCGGGGCTGGGATTGGGGCTGATATTGGGGCTGAGTTTGGGGCTGCAGAGAAGATAGGAGAGTTGATCCAGGGGTTAAGGGCTGCAGGGCGAGCGCCTGGAGGGTTGTGGCACTGTGAGGAAAGGTAGAGGGGATGGGACTCACTGCATGCGGGGCCGAGGGACTCATGGACCTTTGAGTTGACTGAAAAGCCACCTTGGTAGAGGAGATGGGGGCAATTGGTGAATGGGAAAGAGCCCTCAGCCTCTGGCCAGGGGCTGAGGGCTCCAGGGCGAGCGGCCAGAGGGGCGTGGTAGTGGGAAGGAAGGTAGAGGGGATGGGCGCCGTTGGGGAGAAGGGTTTCAGTGCTGAGCGTCCAGGGGCGGCTGTAGCAGTGGCAGTGACGTGAGGCCTCAGAGAATGTGGTTGCACTGCTGTGTATCCAGGGGCGGCTGTGGCAGTGGTGGCTCCGCTGGCTGTTCCGCGTGGCAGCAGGAGGATGTGACAGGGACGGTCTGGCGCATACCCAGCCATGGGAGGTTGCTCTTGAGGCGCCTCAAAAACAGCGGTGGTTCCACTGGCAGTACCACGCAGCAGCAGGCGGGTGTGACTGGGGTGGGATATGGAAGCAGAACTGGCATGAGGTTTGGCAGCAGGAAGCAGTGAGTCGGGAGGTCTGTTGTCTTGTGCCAGCATGGCTGCTGTAGCTGTGATGGTTTGGCCGGCTGTTCCACACAGCAGCAGGAAGGTGTGACTGGGGGGGTCTGGGGAAGCAGCACTGACTTCATGATGAAGTTTGAGAGAACCTTGTGCCGGCATGGCTGTGGATCCAGGGGCGGCTGTAGCCGTGGTGGTTTCGCCGGCTGTTCCACGTGGCAGCAGGAAGCTGTGAGTGTCAGGGCTCATAGTGATTATGTGTTCACTCGCACCCCGTGACAAGCCTGGATCTTGCACCTGCCTTCCCACTGGTTCCATACTTTGGTCCGCAAATGACTGACAGTCAGTCTGCTCCTGCCTGGTACTTCCCTGGCTCCTGCTCCTGCCCCTGCTTGTGCCTCCACTCGTGCCTCCTATCGTGCCTCCACTCCTGCCCCCACTCGTGCCTCCACTCCTGCCTCCACTCGTGCCTCCACTCCTGCCCCCACTCGTGCCTCCACTCGTGCCTCCACTCCTGCCCCCACTCGTGCCTCCACTCCTGCCCACGGTCCTGCCTCCACTCGTGCCTCCACTCGTGCCTCCACTCGTGCCCCCACTCGTGCCTCCACTCCTGCCCACGGTCCTGCCTCCACTCGTGCCTCCACTCGTGCCTCCACTCGTGCCTCCACTCGTGCCTCCACTCGTGCCTCCACTCGTGCCTCCACTCGTGCCTCCACTCCTGCCCCCACTCGTGCCTCCACTCGTGCCTCCACTCCTGCCTGCACTGGCCTCATTAGGATGGTCGCGTGGTTCTTTCTGAATTACCACGCCTTCCATGCCAGTGTAGATCAAAGGACCCGAGCCTTGTTTCTGGGCCTTGCAGATCAAACTCCTGCCCTCTTGCAGTGGCTCTTGCAGCCGCACACTGCTTCCCTCACAATGCAAGGCACCGTGGCTTGGCGCCGACACATTTTGAGTCGACTCAACGGATATCGGTTTCTGACCTCTGAAACTCTCCGACTCTCGCAGTAACTCCAGCATTCGCGCTCCGCTTCCCTCCCTCGGCCAGGCGCCCTGGCTTGGTGCTGGCATGGCCAGTGTTTTCTGACAAATCTCAAAGTTCCCCCCCCTCTGGCACGCGCCCTGGTTTGACATTTGAGTTGGCCCAACTGTCGTCTTGCTTCCCTCCCTCACCCACGCGCCCTGGCTTGGCGCTGGCATGGCCGGGATGGTAGGCCTGTGAATCTGCATACCGGGTGCAGTGCTGCTTCTGGCATTGGGTTTCGGGCCATCTCCTGCACTCATGCTGCTGCTGTCAATGCTGCTGCTGTAGGGAATGCTGCTGCAAGCCATGGTGCGTGGATAGCTATGGCTTCTGCCCAGCAGCAGGGCAGGAATGATAGTGCTGGAATCCATGTACCGTGCTCTAACTGTGCGGCTGCGCTGGTTGCTGGGAGCTTCAGTACTCTCCAGGTGCTCCTGGTGGTTACTGACACCCATATGGCTACCACCACCCATATGGCTACCACCACCCATATGGCTACCACCACCCATATGGTTACTGCCACCCATATGGTTACCGCCAGCCGTATGGTTACCACCACCCATATGGTTACTGGAAGGAATGTCACCATTCTGCTGCTCTGGCTGGTGGTAGCTGGGAGCTTCAGTAATCAACAGGTGCGCCTGGTGTTCACTGGCACGCAAGCCACCATCCTGTACTGCCGATGGATGGTCACTGGAACTCAAAACACGCTGCCACCGCTGCTGTTCCAAGCCTGGCCGCTGCTGTGCCAATCCGTGCTGGCGGAAGTGACCAGTTCGGTCCGGAATATGCTGACGGTTTGTAGCAGTCGGAGCAGGCGAGAGGGACAGGCTGGGCTGGCTAAGGCTGCGTTCTGCATCAGTGCTTGCGTGTGGCGTATCAGCAGCGCAAGTGATGATGTTGGTCCCAGCTTGAGCGCTGTCCGCCGGAGCCTGTGACGGGTGATACAGCGGTGTTTGTTTGGTCGACTCGAAAAACACAACGCTCGGGCGGTGTTCCGCTTCAGTGCTTGCGCGTGGCAAATCAGCAGCGCAAGTGAGGCTGGGCCCATACCAAAAGCTGTCCGACTGAGCCTGTGATGGGTGCTGCAGTGGGTGATGTGGACGCTGTGCCGTGTGAGCTGGCCGTTGCGGTGGCTGACGTGGCTGGCTTGGCTGGTGACTTGGCAGCTGCAGCAGAGGAACATGCATGGCCTGATCTTGCTGTTGGATGGTATGACCTGGCTGTTGCATGGTGTGACCTGGCTGCTGCATGGTGTGACCTGGCTGCTGCATGGTGTGACCTGGCTGCTGCATGGTGTGACCTGGCTGCTGCATGGTGTGGCCTGGCTGCTGCATGGTGTGACCTGGCTGCTGCATGGTATGACCTGGCTGCTGCATGGTATGAGCTAGCTGCTGCATGGTGTGACCTGGCTGCTGCATGGTGTGACCTGGCTGTTGCATGGTGTGACCTGGCTGCTGCATGGTGTGACTTGACTGCTCCCCTGACCCATTCCCCCTGCCCTTCTGCTCCCTGCCCATCTGCGCCCTGTCCATCTGCTCCCTGCCACTATCCTGCTCGGTTGAACACACAAGGGACTCCAAGCTTGCAGGAGAAGGCAGAAACCACGGCTGCTGTGCCCAGTACCTCTGCAGCTGGGACGGCTGCTCCTGGGACGGCTGCTCTCCCACGAGCTTCCCTTCTCTCCCTCCACCACCGCCCTTCCCTTGCTCCAGTCCCAGCATGCTGCTGGGGATGCTGATGGGACTGCTGCTGAGATTGCTGCTGGGGATTCTTCTGGGGGTGCTGCTGGGATTGCTGCCGGGGTTGCTGAAGAGCTTGTTGCTGGGCTTACTGTGCTGAGGTGCTTCAGAACTAGGGCTGCTTCCCTGCTGTGTCTCCAGCAAGCCTCGGAATGCATTCCCACCAGGGGGAACTGAAACGGCTGGGATGGCTGCTGCCCCACTCCCTTCACCACCGCTCTTCCCATGCTCCAGTCCCAGCATGCTGCCTGGGCTGCCGTGGTTGCTGCTCTGAGGCGCCTCAGAACTGGGGCTGCTTCCCTGCTGTGACTCCAGCGTGCCTTGGAATGCCTTCACTTTTTTAGGCGCCTCAAAACGAGGCGCCTCAGAACTGGGGCTGCTTCTCTGCTGCGACTCCAGCGAGGATCGGAGTGCATTCCCACCACGGCGATCAGGCGCCACACCCGAGGTAGTCCCAGAATTACGCTCACGATAAGACGAAACATATCTCGCTGCTACAGCGCTGGGAGGGGTTTTCCCTCCAGTAATGCAGCCATCCGTGCATGTTGTAGCAGCAGCTAGGGCAGTGGACGGATGGGCTGCATGTTCATCTCTAGAAGCCTCAACGCCTGCAGCTGAGGTGGCACAGAGTAACTGGTGCTGGTGGTGGTGGTGGTGGTGGTGGTGCTGCTGCTGCTGCTGCTGCTGCTGCTGCCGCTCTCCCACATCCACTGCCATACTGCCAGGCTCTGCTCTGCTCGATGTGTGAAAGCCAGGGCGATAACCAGATGTAGCGGCAAGGCTGGATGTAGCAGCAACGCCAGTCGCGGTAGCCGCAGAATGCACCGCTGCTGAGCGTCCTTCCAGCCAGCTTGCTGGTTTCTGTAGGTTTGGCAGGGGTGAGAACTGCGAGCCCGGGACAGGCAAGAGCATGCGTGTTGGTAGACTGCGAACCCAAGCAGGAATCGACACTCGCTCGGACCCAAGACCCACTCTTTGAGCCGCCGGGGGCTTGCGCATGTGGGGGATGGCTGGAGAACCTCGGCAATAGTCATTATTACTTTTATCATCATTAACATCATGATTTTCATCATGTGAGGCATCGGATTGCTCATGATTCGCCGTGATCAGCTGCTGGGGGGGCTGGTGTGTGGTGAGTGGTGAAGCGCTCCCGCTGTCATTCGGAATGATTTCCGAAGGCTGGGGCGGCTGTTGCATGGAGACTGGTGAGGCCCACCCGCCGCCATCATGTCTCGGGATGATCGGAGGCTGGGGGGGCTGGTGCATGGTGAGCGGTGAAGCGATCCCGCTGTCAGTCAGAATGATTGCCAGAGTGCAAGGAGAGTGGTGAGGCCCTCCTGCCGCCATGTCTCAGGATGATCGGAGGCTTGGTCGGCTGGTGCATGGTGACTGCTCCCACTCTGTCAGGGGGAGACTTTCTTTCAAATCACGAACTTCCTTAAATGGTTGTTGGAGGGAGGGAGCTACGTCTGCAGACCACGTAAGACAGAGAGAGGAAAACAAATGTCGGGAAAATAGGGAAAATTTCACAGGAGATGTAGAATGTGTCCCCTCTGCTATTAAAACTCGAGGTCCGGATTGTCCAAAAGTTGAGCAATTGAAGAGGGGAGGGGGGAGGGGATTGGCTGGATAGCAAACCCCGAGTTTCTCCAACCTCCGCAGCCCTAGTAATAAAAAGTTCACTACACCGCTTCAAGTGTTGAACAAACCCCCCTTCTTGGACCATTCCGACTGCGGGGAGGATGGGGAGAAAGGGGGAAAGAGAGGAGGGGGGGAGAGAGAGGGAGATAGATGAGGGAGAAAGGGCTTACCTCTTCTACAATGGTTGGGGAATGCACACCCGTAGTTGAGTAAATGATTCCAACGTTGAGTTGGCGAAACCACATCACAAAGATGTGGCTTTCATCTACATAGTACAGCAGGGCTACTCCGTGGCTGACGTATCTATACCTAGTCTCTACCTAAACTGTATTTCTTGTCTGGTAAATTCGTGACGCACAGGTGCCTTGTTCCTGAAAAGGACCAGAGAGCCTTTGTAGAGAAGTACCAAGATAGCGTTGCTACTACAAGGTACAGCTTCAGCTGAGCAACGGAACTTCCGTGAAAACTTTTCTTGAAGGGGATGCAACTTCCGAAGTTGAGTCAACTTGTAAAAAGGACGGATGTTGAAGTTCAAATATCAAATTTCAGATCCATGGAAGGATGCACCTGCATTTTTCGAAGTCCTCGCAGCAGGGTGCTACTACTAGTAGGGGGGTGTCCAAAGTGGGATGTCACAAAAGGGGGTGTCCTATACGGTATACAAATATCATCAACATCGCAGGTAGTTTCGGTACGACTTAGTTTTCAAAAGGTTACGAAAGGCTTCTAGATCGGTGCTTCGACATCAGGGATGTCGTCAGATGTCGCTGGGCACTTTGGACACGCTATAACCATCCACCCCAAGATAAGTGGCCAGAGAAGGGAGGGAGGGGAGGTGATCCTGGGCTAAGGAGAAATGCACAATTCATCCTTCGGAGTGTGGTGCAAACTGCTACAGTTGGGTTGGGTTGGGTGAGATGGACTGCGGTTAACTGGTAGAAATCGGTTGGGTTTTGGTTTTGAGAGGAGTTGCGCATGAGCGTGGTGCGGAAAGGTGAGGCGCGGGGGAGGGGGAAAGGTTGATTCAATAAACTTGATTGAAAGGAACTCTAGCGAAGTTTTCGCTCCAGGGGGGACCCACTTGACAAGGGAGGGTGGATTGACCCGTAAAGAAACGAGCACCATTGGTTCGAGCTTCGGTACAAATGATGTCCATCGAACGCCCATCACTTCGCCGAGTCGCAAGGGCCGCTGTCGAATTCGTCAATTCGCATGCTTCGCCACGGGCAAATGGGTCGCAAATGAGCATTTTATAACAAATTATTTCAAAAGTCAGAATTCTGGTCAATAAGCACATGCATCTGTATGGTCGCCTCGTTCTGCGCTCAGTAAAATCGTTCCACGTGGCGACTTTTGGGAATCTGACGAAACGGATACTGCCCGTAAAACAGAGCAAAGGGCAGGCTAAACCGATTGCGATTGGCTACGAGGAAAACGTATGGTGGACATCATATGTACAGTGCTGCCGTTGACTGGAGAGTCCCACAGCTGTCAACTGATGTGATGCTTGGCGGGAGGTGGATACATTTTGCACGTCCACCAGTCAAAGTTGTCGCTGTGCTGCAACCTGATGTCTGGGTTTTGCTTTTGATGTTAACCCTTCCGTGTACTGCTGACTATAAAATTTCGACGCCTGGATGTGGCTCGTGAGTGATTCGACATCCGTGCTCCTCTTTCGTTTGCAATACGGGTCAAGAGCTATACAGTGCGGACAAGTTTAATTTTGGACAACCTTTGCCGACCTGAGGTTTTGCTCCTACAGTACCTCATGATATCCAACGTTATTTGAAGTGGCTTGCGTCACCGTTATCATGACAAGCATCAGCTAACCGTCTTCAACGTTTCGCCAACCAAAATTCCCGACACAATCGGTCCACCGCTCAACACACATCTGCCACATTGCAAGCCCTCACTTTCGAGGCAAGCCACGGGATAACTGCCTACAGAGGGGACTCGTGTTTAACTAAGACCAGATGACGTGCACACCTAGTGCGTGGTGTATCCACAGTAATTTCTCAAAATCAGTAGTTTGTCGTGTTCTGTTTTGTAGCTTGTCGATTGCGCAGCTGGGCCTTGTCGTATGAGTCACTGTAGCTCGTCGTTTCTACAAGTGTAGCGCTGCTCGAGAAGGTGCTGGGTGAGAGATTCGCGCGCATGGATTGCAGTTCTTCAATGAAGGACAATTCATGAGGGCGTAAAAATGCTGGCTGGGTTGTTTTGCATCAATGTACATAATTCTGATATCCCACATCAATATTGGGAATCACATGTGCATTTTCTATTTTCATAAAATTATTTGTTGAATAATATATATATTCGTGTAGTTATCATGGGTGTGATTCAATGGATTTGCATCCTCGGAAACGTGCAGCAATAACACGTGTGAATCACTGCAGGCTGCTGACGTGCAGTCTCGGAAAATAAGAATGAACTACAATTATGTACTGTACAAACTCGTGAATGACGAGATCCAGCCAACTTGGGGGAACTAGTGAGAGTGAGAGTGAGAGCGTGAGGAAGGGAGAGGGGATGAATTAGAGAGGGGAGGAAGACATGGAAGGGTAATGCTTGATAGTGGCGAGGAGAGAGGAGGAGGGGGACGGAGGGTACCGGTAAGAGGTCGCAAGCGGTGGGGGGGGTGGGGTGGGGGGGGGGGGGATGGGGGGAGACGGGGGGTATTTGAGAGCGATATGGAGTGATTTAGATTGGTCCCAAGAGATTCTGGAGGAGTCGTAGCAACTCTTATAGAAGGTTTAAAAAAAAAATAGTGATTTTCAACGAGTTTTAGTTATAGCTATTCAAGAAGACCCTGCCCGAATATATCCGTGGACTTTGGAAGGGATTGGAGTGTAGTCGATTGGAGTGGAGTTTAGTGGAATAAAGTGGAGTTGATGATCTTGATAATATGTCCAATGAACTTGGAAATCACCTTGTTCCTGAGAGGGATGGGACAGGAAGAGGAAATGGTGTAGCCTCAAGACCAGGGTGGATGTTATGCCATGCCATGGGCTCGACTGGACTGCAAGGTTTTCTGAGGACAAATGGAGAAGAGTAGGGAGAGCAAGATGAAAAGCTTTGGTATGGTATAGGAAATGCGATCGACCTCGAGTAGACATTAAGGGAAATGCATTGACCAGATATTGTTGGGTGTTGTGGATGACAAATACTCGGTCAGCAACTACCGGTTATAAAAAAAGGCTAGGCAGGCCCTGGATGATAAAGGACTTTGATGGTGGAATTGGAAATATTTGCGTGATGTTATGATGGAAGCATGAGAGGGAGGTTGCAACACCATATGGTTCTTATCCAAACACCGTTGGGTAAAAATGGGGGGGAATACAGCAATGAAACAGCTCATATTGTTCCAAACCTAGAATCATGTGGCGGTAATCACAGTAATTTGACGAAAACTTCATCCGATTCCTGCTATTGAAGTATGGGCATTCCTTAGTACGAGGACCTGATCTAGAGTCTGAGGAACCGTAGAGTAAAGTCACCAGAATACATTGACTTGGAAAAGTTCCGGAATGACCTTTCGTGCGATCCTGCAGTTCATATGTGAAATCGCTAGTAATACTTGTTAACGTAGAAACGAATGATTACTAGAGGTGGAAACCTAGAACAAATACTAGTTGGTTGTACTCACTAGAAGCATACCTCAGTCTAGCCTATAACTTCTACATAGATAATATGTATAAGTTGACAATACTGCCAATGTATCATGCCCTCCACATATGATATTGGACTACTGCTAAAGGCTAACCATACTTCAAGAATGCAAAAGTCCTCGAACAACCTTCAACACCTGCTAGTACTGGTCCACTGCATTGTGTTGCAATGAGCATGTGGTTTCGCTGCTTCCTAACTGCATTATGACCAATGAGAGGTGATAGAATTCACCATGTGACGTCTCTACGAGTCATCCCCATGTGATTTCCTCTTATTCCTTAGTTTCAGTCCCCTTGCTTGCTCCTCCTCCTCCTTAAGCTCCTTCAAGTACCCCCTGATTGCTTCATGACTGAACGGACTGTCCTCTAGCCCTTGGGATGACGCCACCCCTTCATTCTTATTCCTCACATTCACCTGTTTCTCACCTTCCTCTGTCCCTGCTTCACCAGAATGCTTAACTCCGGTCACCCTCTCGTTGTAAGCCACCCTCAGCCTTCCTACTAACGAATCAGCACTAGCCCAGGTTTGCCTCACCGGGCATCTGCACAAATCAGATGGGGAGCTGGTGCCATACAACACGCATCCCCCCTTCTGGTGAATTCTAGTCTTACCGAATTTATTGAAGTACTGTAGAAACGCTATAACGTGCTTGGGTGTACATTCTGCAAGAGGGACTGGTGGCTGATGCCGCTCCAGGTACTGGTTAAATGCGTCCCAGTCACGGGTCTTTTGGGCCTCGTACCGGCTCCCGAGACTCTTGCGTCGTGCCTGCTTCTCCAAGGGTTGTACCTGCTGCCCCTGCTGTCTCTGCTGCCCCTGCTGTCTCTGCTGCCCCTGCTGCCCCTGCTGCCCTTGCTGCCCCTGCTGCCTCTGCTGCCCCTGCTGCCCCTGCTGCCCCTGCTGCCTCTGCTGCTCCTGCTGCCCGTACTGCCCCTGTTGCCCCTGCTGCCCCTGCTGCCCCTGCTTTCCCTGCTGCGCCTGGTGACCCTGCTGTCGAAGCAGATGCTGCTGCAGGTACTGGTTTAACGTGTCCCATTCACATGTCTTTTGGGTCTCGTACCGGCTCCCTGGACTCTTGCGCCTCTTTTGCATTTCCAAGACTTGGGCCTCCTGCTGATTTTTCTGCTGCTGGGGCTGCTGCTGGTGCTTCTGCTGCGGCTGCTGCACCTGATGATCGTCCTCATGCTGCACCTCCTGCTGCTCCTGCTGCTGCTGCTCAACCTGCCCCATCTGCTGCCGCTGCAAAAGCACCTCTGTCTGCTCCCACTGCAGCATCGCCTGGTGAACAGGTTTACGAGATGGAGCACTCACCATGCCTCGTTCCACTTCCCCGTCTCCTCCAACCATGCTTGAGCTGCCAGGGTTCAGGTTGAGAGAAGCTATGGTGGGGGAAGGCACACTACGGGAAGGCACACTAGATGAAGGCACAGTAGGGGAAGGCGCACTAGGAGTAGGCACTCTAGGGGAATGCACACTAGGGGAAGATACTCTAGAAGGAGGTACACTAGGAGGAAGTATGGTTGCTGGTAACGGTGCAGACAGGTGCGGCTGGCATGGAAGCGGAGGAGTGACCAGGGAAGCGATATTTGAGCCTTCTACAGAAGGGGGCCTTGGGCGAGGCTGGAGGTAGGTGGTGCATTGGAGGATGGGAGAGATGGGAGAGATGGCAGGCTGGGGATGAGGAGGGGATCGGAAAACCATGTTAGGGGTCGCAGCAGAGACGGGCCTGGGGCGAGTCTGCAAGTAGGAGGTGCAGTGGAGGCCGGCGGATGGGGCAGGCTGTGGCTGAGAGGCCTGTGCTGGTGTGTTAAGGGTGTCTGCAGAGATGGGCTTTTGGTGAGGCTGCAAATAGAATGTACAGAGGCTGGGCAAGGGGAAGTATTGGGGTTGAAGAGGGACCCGGAGAGCCATGTAAGGTTCCTCTGCAGGGAAGGACCCAGGGCGAGGCTGCAAGTAGGAGGGGCGGTGGAGGCTGGGGGATCGGAAGGAGTGGGGCTGAAGAGCTGTTCCTGTGGGCTCTAGGGAGGGAGGACTGGGGGGTGTGGCAGTGGGAGGGAGGGTAGAGGGGGCTGGAGCCAATGGGGGAAAGGGACCGAGTGTATGTGCAGATGCAGGATTGATGGGCCCCGCGGCGGGAGGCCAGAGGGGTGTGGTAGTGGGAGGGACAGTGGAGGGGATGGGGGCCATTGGTGGAGAGTGAATGGGTGGATGCAGGGCGGCTGCGGAACTTATGGTCCCTAGGGAGCGAGGCTTGAGGGGTGTGGCCGTGGGGGGGAAGGTGGAAGGAATGCGTGTCATTGGGGGGATGAGATTCAGTGCATAAAACGCAGCTGAAGGACGGATGGTTGGGCACTGAGGCTCTGGGAAGAGTGGGCAGGAAGCAGTAGTGGCTCCCCTGGCGGTCCCATTTGGCAAGGGGAATCTGTGATTGGGCGAGTGTGTTGCAGCACCAGAGCCATTGGAAGTCTTTTGGAGACCTTGTGCTCGCATTGCTGTGTTTCCAGGGGCGGCCGTAGCTGTAGCAGGAGCTGCAGGGGATAAGCAAGCGGCATCTGTAGCAAAGAGGGGAGCAGTGGCAGGGTCAGCTGGGGCATTAGCTGCTACGATTGCAGCATGACTAGCCGCTGAAACCAATGTGCTAGTATCTGCTGGAGCTGATCTGTCAGTAGCTGCTACAGCTGATGTAGCACTGACTTCTGTGGCTGATTCGATGCTTAATGCTACAGCTGCTGAACCCCTGGCTGCTGCAGCTGATTGGATGCCAGCTGCAATGTCTGATGGGCCTCCTGCAACCGCCAAAAGCTGTAATTCTCTCTGGGCTACAGGCAGTGGGTCAGGAGCCGCGACAGCTGGTTGACTACTCGCTTCTGTATTCAGTGTTCTGGTGCCATTTGCTGCTACAGCACCTGAGCCAGAAACGGCTGTAGCAGCAGCAGCAGCAGCAGATGTAGCAGCACCAGCTGTAGCTGTAGCTACTGTAGCTGCAACGCCTGCACCTGAGACCCCAAGATTTTCAGAAAGGACAATTAGGCTGCTGCTGCTTCTGCCTGTGCAGCCCTGGCTGCTGCTCCAGCTCCCCCTCTCACTCCCGTTCCCACCCTCACTCCCCCACCCACTCCTTATCCCACCCTCACTCCCCCACCCACTCCTACTCCCACCGTCATCCCGCCTCCTGCTCTCCTCCCCCCTCCAACCCACACTGCCCCCCCTACCTGCACTCCTGATTCCACTCCTCCCTCCACCCCCTCTCACCCGCCTGCTTGTGCTCATGCTTCCACTCCCACACCTTGACAAGCTCGGATCTTGCTCCTTTATGTGCACTAGGTCCAATCTTCGGCCCATAAACGACTGACAGTCGGTCTTCTCCTGGCTGCCGCTTCCTTTTCTCCGGCTCCCGCCCCCACTGGATCCCCCGCCGATCGTTCCTTGCACCTCTGTAGGACGATCCCCCACGTGTTCTTGAGATAACCCCTGCCCCGGAGGTAACTCTTGCTCCAGGAAACTGCAGGTCAGAGGGGCTGGAGGCTGTACCAGCTCCGTAAAGCTCCTCCTTTCAGGGGCCTCAATAATACATACCCTGGAAGTCCTCACCTCTTGTGGCAACTCCAGTATCTGGGCTTGTATTCCCGCTCCTTGGCCAGCGGCATTGCTTGGCACTAACGTGCCCAGGTGGCCAGGGCAGCAGCGCGGGTAGCTGTTGCTCCTGCCAAGTAGCAGGCTGGGGATGATGGTGCTGACATTCCCATACCGTGCCCGTACAGTGCGGCTGCGCTGGTAGCTGCCAGGCTCATCATTTGGTGTGTGTATGCGTTCCTGCTGGTAGCTGCTGCCATTCATACCGTACTTCTCCACAGGTGCCTGGTGGTTGCAAGCAGACGTAACAAGCTGTAGCTGCACCTGAGCGATTCTGGCGGCCACACCACGTTCCTGTGACCGTTCTTCCGAGCCTGAATTCTGTGCCGAGCCTGACTTCTGTGCCGAGCCTGAATGCCCTGCTAAGGCTAAGTTTTGTTCCGAGCCAAGATGTTGTGCCACCCCCGGCTGCTGCACCAAGCCTGGCTGCTGCTCCAAGCCTGGATGCTGCACCAAGCCTTGCTGCTGTTCCGGTCCTAGTGCCTGGTCCAAGCCTGGCTGGCCATAGGGACCAGTTGGATCCAGGCCACAATGATGGCCATGCGCAGCTGGAGCTGAAGGGTGGGAGAGATCGAGATGACTAAAGTGATGATTGGAAAGGTGGAGATGACTCAAGTGGTGCCCCACATCTGTGCTAGCACTTGTAGGATCGAGGCCACCACGAATGCTCTTCTCTAGCTGAGTCTGCGGTGGGTGAGTGGAAAGCTCGAGACGGCCCAAGTGGTGCTCCACACCCGTGCTGGCATATGTGGGTTCGATATTAGCAGAAATGCTCTCTACCTGAGTCTGATGTGGCTGCTGCAGTGGATGAGGTGGCGGTTGTAGTGGATGAGCTGGCAGTCGTGTTTGTTGAGCTGGAAATTGGAGTGGCTGCTGCATGCGATGACCGGGCTGCTGCATGGTGTGACCTGGTTGCTGCATCGTATGACCTGGCTGTTGCATGGTATGACCTGGCCATTGCATGGTATGACCTGGCTGCTGCATGGTGTTACCTGGCTGTTGCATGGTATGGCCTGGCTGTTGCAGGGTATGAGCTGGCTGCTCCTCTGACCCATTCCCCCTGCTCATCTCCTCCCTTCCCACCTGCTCTTTTCCCACCTGCTCTCTGCCCACCTGCTCCCTACTCTCTTTCTCTCTGCCCACGTGCTCCCTACTCACTTGCTCTCTGCCGACCTGCTCCCTGCTCATTTGCTCCCTGCCCAACATGTCCCTGCTCACTTGCTCTCTGCCGACCTGCTCCCTGCTCATTTGCTCCCTGCCCAACATGTCCCTACTCACTTGCTCTCTGCCGACCTGCTCCCTGCTCATTTGCTCCCTGCCCAACATGTCCCTGCTCACTTGCTCTCTGCCGACCTGCTCCCTGCTCATTTGCTCCCTGCCCAACATGTCCCTGCTCACTTGCTCCCTGCTCACCTTCTCCCTGCCCCGATCTTCCTCGGGTTGACGCACAAGGGACTCCAGGCTTCCATGAGAAGGCAGAAACCCAGGCTGCTGCACCCAGTTCCTCGGCTGCTGGTTTGGCTGTTGCACCCCCTTCTTATGCTGCAGAGTCGGCTTCCGCACCCAGCTCTCCTGCGGCTTCGATGGCTGCTGCTGCATCAATATCGCCTCACTCCCTTCACCACCGCTCATCCGCTGCTCCAGTCCGAGCATCCTGCCAGGGCTGCTCCTCTTAGGCGCCTCAAGACTGGGGTTGCTTCCCTGTTGGGGCTCCAGCAATCCCCTGAGTGCATCCCTACCAAGGAACTGTGAAACAGCGCGGATGGCTGCTGCCCCACTCCCTTCACCACCGCTCTTCCCTTGCTCCAATCCAACCATACTGCTGGGGCTGCTGGGTTTGCTGCACTGATACGACCCAAGACTGCGGCTGCTTCCCTGTACTGGTGACGCCAGCACGCTTTCAAGTGCATCCCCACCACGTCCATGTGATACTGCACCCAAGATGGCCCCTCCGGGAGAACCACGTTCAGCATAAGAGGGAAGCTCTCTCCCTGCCACCGTCTTGGAAGCCTGAACGCCTGTAGCTGAGAAACTACAGTGTAGGAGCTGCTGCTGCTGCTGCCGCTGCTGCTGCTGCTCGCTCTCATCTGCTATCATACTGCCTGGTCCCACTCTGCATAAGGTGTGACAGTCAGGATGATAACTGGCTGTAGCAGCAGGGTCAGCAGCTGTAACAGCAGGGAGAGCAGTTGTAGCTGCATCATGCACTAATGATACTCCTCCTTCCGGCCATGTGGGCTTTGCTAGGGTTGACAAAGGTGTAAGTCGGGAGCCGTGGATAGGCATGAGCATGTGTGCTGGGAGGCTGCGAATAGAAGCGAAAATCGGTACTCTCTCCAACCGAGGGGGCGAGTTTTCAGCTTGTGGCTCGCTTACGTGGGAGGCGACTGGGGAACCATAACCGCCGCCATCGCCATCATTATGATTCTTATTATGTGATGCAGTACCTTCCTCACAACTTGTCAGGGTGGTGATCGGAGAATAGGGTGGCTGGTGGATGGAGAGCGGTGAAGAACTCCTGTCATCATGACCCAGGATGGTCGGAGGCTTGGGCGGCTGGTGCATGGTGATCGCACCACTAAGTCTGCAGCAGAGTGCTTCTGATTTGGCTGAAAGGTTGTTGGAGGGAGGGTGCAACGCCTGCAAACAATCATGTAAGGCAGGAAAGAGAAACGTCTGGTTAGCATGTTGCCTGAACCGATAGGGGATCACTGTTGAGGAGGGGAGTGTGAGAACGAGATGGGGGAGTGGAGAGGCTGAAGAATAGAAAGAGAGGGAGCGAGAGAGAGGAAGGGAGGGGGAGGTGGGGAGAGACAGATGGAGAGAGGGAGAGAGAGGGAGAAAGAGAGAGGGATGGAGGGAGGGAGGGAGGGAGTGAGGGACGGAGGGAGGGAGGGAGGGAGGGAGGGACGGACGGACGGAGGGAGGGAGGGAGGGAGAGAGGGAGGGAGGGAGGGAGGGAGGGAGGGAGGGAGGGAGGGAGGGAGGGAGGGAGGGAGGGAGGGAGGGAGGGACAGACGGACGGACGGACTGGCGGACGGACAGACGGACGGATGGACGGACGGACGGACGGACGGACGGACGGAGGGACGGAGGGACGGAGGGAGGGATGGAGGAAGGATGGACAGAGAGCGGAGGGACGGAGGGCGGAGGGAGTGATGGATGGAGGGAGGGACAGAGGGAGGGACGGAGGGAAGGATGGAGGGGGGAATGGAGGGACGGAGGGAGGGACGGAGAGAGAGACAGAGGGAGGGACGGAGGGAGGGATGGAGGGAGAGACGGAGGGGGGGGGGGGGGGGGGGGGCAGAGAGAGAGAGAAGAGAGATAGAGAGAGAGAGAGAGAGAGAGAGAGAGAGAGAGAGAGAGAGAGAGAGAGAGAGAGAGAGAGAGAGAGAGAGAGAGAGAGGGAGAGAGAGAGAAAGAGAGAGAGAGAGAGAGAGAGAGAGAGAGAGAGAGAGAGAGAGAGAAAGAGAGAGAGAGAGAGAGAGAGAGAGAGAGAGAGAGAGAGAGAGAGAGAGAGAGAGAGAGAGAGAGAGAGAGAGAGAGAAAGAGAGAGAGAGAGAGAGAGAGAGAGAGAGAGAGAGAGAGAGAGAGAGAGAGAGAGAGAGAGAGAGAGAGAGAGAGAAGGGCTTACCTGTTCAACAATGCGTCCCAAAATACTAGGATCAGAAATACGGAGTAGGTATACAGTAGGTACGGCATAGGTACGCCTGCTACGGAGTAGCCTTGCTATACAAACAACTATACCTACAATATAGGAGAGATCCACAATTTTGTGACGTGGTCAGCAGAACTTCAACTTCCGGCCAAAGGTAGGAGATTGCAGGAACCGTAATCAAGTAACTCGTTCCTAGTAGTACTAGGAACCACGACTTGGAGTGCCGTTCTAGAGGCTACGGAATATCAGTGCATTCAGTAAAATGTTTGCTGCAAAATAGCTTACACGTTTACAATGGATGCAACTTCAACTCACTGAGGAAAGACGCCCATGGGGAAGTGAATTCCATAAACCTGCGGCCTTTTTTATAGTCCTCCTCGCGTTGACCACAGGCCCTCCGAGATCAGTCGCGTAGCCAGACTCTCTGAGACTAGGCGTTTGCCGCCAGCCTGGAATTGATGGAATTGACTCCGGGTTTTGGAGAAACACGGCACAGCCCACAATTTACAACTGAGTGTGCTGCTGACTGATATAGTTCGGTTGGGTGAGTTGAAGTGCGGTTGATGGATACAAATTTGTCTAGATACTTCGGTGTTCGTGTAGGAGGTTGGGGTTTGGTTTAGGGGAGTTGCGCTACAGGCCAGCCAGCCAGCCAGGGGAGTGCGGGGAGGTGTCGCGCAGACAGGAAGGTTTGGGGAGCACTTGGGGGGACATCTGAGCGAAGCGCGCAAGACATGAAAATCATCGACAACCTCCCCTGCTGAAGGTTCAAAGCAGAATTGACCTATGAAGAACAAGCCTACTGGGCCACAACGGGCCTATTGGGCCACGCTGCGGTAGCCGTTGACGGTTACACCTGTCAATGTAGCCGTTTCACGCGTCCATCCTTCCAGGTTGCCTGGCCTGCAATCTGCTGTTCGAATTCTGTTTCTGACCGAAATCTCGACACTCTTATTTCGTCTCGGGACAACTCGAGTTAGTGAAATGTTTAGAAGTTCGCTGTGCTTGGATCGCTATCAAAATTCTCGAAATAAGGATCCAAAAACTCACGCGATCTAGACCAGGATTTTTAACGTTACAAGATAACTGGCAAGGGATACATTGGATTTCCTAATTAAACCAGTACAGTTCAGCCATGCTGCCAGGGGTGAAGCATCAAGTACCAACGATTTTCAAGGAGTTGATACGAAACTTTTTCTGACAAGTTTTTCCAGCACTGAACACGCTTCCGCTACCATGCATTGCCTCCACCAGACTCTCCTCCAATAGACTACAAGTAGGGGAAAGAAACCTGCAACAGGGAAGTTAAATTGAGCTCGCATACAAGTACACGTAGTGTAGTCCTGTAAAAGTATGAAAAAGCTACCCCAAATAGGTATTAAATACCGGGCATATAGTGCATAAGGAGCGGCCAGGACGGTGTGGTTTGCTTTGGCCGACGCCGTCTGGAGACGGAAACAACAGGTCCAGTGGTGTCGAAGTGTACTGTACCCACAAACCTCCACACACAAGAAAAAACAAATCCTTCGTGTGGGTATTTCCCCAGTGCATGTGCCTACACGATAGCATCCTTTAATGTGGAATTTACCTCTCAGAGGAGTTGATGTTTCCCATAGCTCTTATTGGCATTAGAGAGCATATATTATAGATTCCGATAATATTATCATGGATGTATTAACCTATCATGGTTTTTTCATTTAAAGGTGCATTTGTCAGTGCATTTATCATCCTTAAGTATTCTACATGTTTCACTATATGGTGCATCAAGCGTCTGAATCACTAAACTTGGATTCTCGGACACGGGCAGCAATGATACGTGTCTCGGAAAGGCGAATGAACGACAATACAGCCTGACGTGTGCAACAAGAGCACACGAAGGAGTGCTGGATGAACCACAGTGAGACCACTGGATGTGGTCCGGCAACTGAAACACGGCGGTTTGGGTGAAGCTGCAAGGCGTTCGATGGATTCTTGATTGGTGCAACATTTACAGACCAAGCCGGGCTTCCAAAAGTGATCATCGCGGTAAACACCCCGTCTGGGGAGCAGGAGTCCGTAACTCCCTTTAGTTAGCGACCCTGCTGGGAAAGGGGGGGAAAAACCATAAATGTCGAATTTGAAACTCCGAGCCGCCTCTGGGGCATGCAGAAGGGCATGCGGCACGATTTCAAGCCACAGATCGGGTCAACAACAGCTCAGGTCAGAGTCCGTCGAAGCTGTTCATGCGCTCCATACTACAGTATTACTGTAAATGGTCCGACAGTGCTATGAATAATAATAGAGTGCGCGGAATAATATGACGAGTACAAGAATGGGAGCCTAGCATTATATAACGAGAGCTCTAGCTAGGCGACGAGCCCGGAGGGCTAGGTTGGATACAGGCGCAGTCAAAAGGACCGGAGGCGGCACGAGCCAGCCTCGGGATTGCGTCGGAACATGACCGAGCCTGGTCTTCCGAGAGTTCGAGTGTACGCGATTGCAGTACAACGCGGTAAGGAATAAAATTCCTTACAAACAAAGCATTGCATTCGCCATGGGCTCGTCCGCTAAGAACGTACGTAGTATAATCAATTGAGCGAAATCATCAATGTAATTGTACATGTGCTCTCAATGCATGATGCATTCGCCTCATAAAATGATGTAATTTCACTTCCATGTTCATAATCAATGCATCAAACACCCTGGTACAGGGATGTTATGGCGTTCGGCATTTCACACGAATATATTCGAAAGAACTCGCTCCTTCGTAAACCATCAGCGGTGCCCAGAAACTCCACCAAAACCCGGGCCTGCTTTGTTAGAAGGTTTTCGCTCTTTTTTCCCGACGACAGTTCCAGCACTGGCACCAGCAGCAGCAGCAGCACCAGCCCGAGCACCACCACCAGAACCAGAACTAGCACCAGCACCAGTGGTGGGAGGCGTGCTTCCAGTAGTATTGGCAGAAGCTGGAGAGGTAGATAGTTCCCTTCCTCTCCCCACGCCACTAGTGCTGTTGCCTCCCCCACCAATGCCACCCCTGGTGCCGCCGCCTTTGCCAGCTCCATTAACCCCACCACTCCCTCCCTGCCCACCCCATCCTCTTCCACTTCCCCCTCCCCTTCCGCCTCCCCTTCCCCTCCCCCCTCTTCCCCGCCCTCCTCCCCCTCCTCCTCCTCCTCCTCCTCCTCTTCCCCCTCTCCCTCCTCTCCAACCCCTCCCCCCCCCTCCTCCTGCTGCCACAAATCCTCCCCTTCCTCGGCCCCCCCAAACACCACCAACCGCCCCTCCCCCCTCTCCTCCACCCTCGTCCCCCTCCTCTCCCTCCTCTTCCTCCTCCTCCTCTTCCTCTGGTGCTCCCCATGTGGCACGGTTACCGCCTTCTCCCAGCCCATGGATCAGCCCCGCCTCGATCCGCTTCATCTCAGCCGCTTGTGCCGCCGATCCGACAGCCACGGAGCCCTTAACCTTGTAGCTGTAATTCTTGCCGTCCTTCACGTAGAACTGGGGGCCGTGGGCCTGTGCTTGGGCCTGCGATTGCCCTTCAGCCAATCCCTGATGCTCCTGCTGATATGGCTGTTTCTTACCAGAAGCCTCCAAACCCCCACCAGCACCACCACCAGCACCAGCAGCAGCAGCAGCACGAGCAGCAGCGCGTGCATCGAACCTTGTCCTCACCTCTTCCACCTCGCTACTCCCGGCGCCCGCCGCCACGTCATACCCCTCCAGGTCATCAAACGAGTCATCGTACTCATCGTCGTACTCGAACTGCGACTCAAACACAAAGCGTTTCACCGCCTCCTGTTCCCTCCTTGTCCCCGTACCTGCCGCCGAGCCTCGCTTCCATACCTCCTCCTCCACCGACTCCTCGTCCCGCTTGCTCCGGACAAACCGGCCAACGCTGCTGCTGGCAGCTGTCGCAGAGGCTGTAGCAGGATCTGTAGCACCAGCTGTAGCCGCAGCTGCAGCTGTATTTCGCGCAATGCCTGCCCATGAGCCACCCGCACCTCCACCCGCGCTGGACCCTTCACCTTTCAACTGTCTCTCCACTTCCTTCTGCTGTGCCACAACTCCGCCCCACCCTCCCGCACCCTCCTCCTCCTCCTCCTCGTCCTCTTCCCCTCCCTCTTCTACCGCCGCCTTACCCTTCCCCTTACCTGCCACCCTACCAGCACCCGCACCACCACTGCCAGCAGCACCAGCAGCAGCGACCGCAGCAGCAGCATAACCAGCAGTCCCAGCATCCCCTGTTCCACCCCCACCAGCCTTCCCTGGCTTCACCTTTAATTGAGTGTCTAGCTTAGCTAAGTCCGGGTGTAGACTCCCCTCCAGCACATGCTGAATCACTGCTTCTGCATCGCCCCCATACACGTCCAGGCACGCGCCCACAAACCCCTCCCCGAAATCCGGAAAAATATCCCGCACGAGAGATATTTTGGACTGCTCGAGTGCTGCTGACTCAGCATCGGAGGTGGATGAGAGGGAGGGAGTGAGGGAGGGGAAATCTGCTGCTGTGGGAGGCAGGTTAGGAGCAGTGCTGCTGTTGCTGCCACTAGTAATGCTGGTAGAAAGAGGAGGTGGAAGGGTGATTGGTGGGCCGATGATGTCGGAGACTGTATCGAATTGCGTGTTATCCAGTGGTAGCTTGCCTGCAATAAAAAAAAAAAGCAAAAAAAAAAAAAGGGGGGGGGAGGCATGGAGGGGGGCAATTATTAGAAGGGAAAGGGAAAGATTTGCAATGAACAGGCATAGACAGACAGCCATACATGTGCATCTACAATCATGTGAACACAGCCACAGTCACTTACACAAGACTTTATGCTCACCTTTCATCTTCTCTTCATAAATCGCTGCCCGAAGGCCAAAGGATGCATCAACTGCCCGCAGTAGTGGAACCCACACATCATTGTTTACATCCTTCCTGCCCGAGCTCGCTCCATGCGCCACAAGAACCTCCTCCACTAGCAGCTGCCCGAAATTCGCTTTCTGCCAAGGCAGCCCGTCCCACAACGGGCACCCTAGATCTTTTCCTCTGCCCGCCTTGACCCCACCATCACAAACAGGGCACAGCGGTAAAACACCATTGCCGTGACTGCTGCTGCCGTTGCGGCTCCTACTCCTGCTATTACTGCTTATCTTCGCACTGGTACTACCAGCACCAGCAGCAACAGCAGCAGCAGCAGCAGCAGCAGCAGCAGCAGAAGCAGCAGCACACCCCCTCCCTCCAAGAAACGCGCCCCAGAGATACTTCCATGCAACTTCCTCCAGCTTCATCTGAAGAATCTGCCCCAAAACCTGCCCGGGTGACGGCTTGGCCTCTTGATTGACAGCGACTGAGTGGAAGAGAAGAGGGAGGAAGGAATCGTGAATCCGAGCCGCAACAGGCAAGAGTCTCAAATGAGAGGTGCCTGATGATGGTGCTGCTGCTGCTGCAGCAGGTGTTCTTGCTGATGTTGCTTTTGTTGTTGTTGCTGCTGTGGTTGCTTGCAGGAGGAGCAGGGGTGCGGGTGGGTAGGCGTCAAAGAGCGAGTCGAGAGAGAAGGCGAAATCGCAGAGGTAGGAGAGAGCCTCGAGAATCTCTGCTGATGCTGGTGATGACGATGACGTTTTGCTGTGCTGCAGGGGTGGGCGGTAGGGAAGAAGGAAAGCAAGCTCGTAAGTCGAGAGAGAACGCGAAGTCGCAATGGTAGTGGACTTTTGAGTCGACTCAAAAGTCAGCCTCGATGACCTCTGTGGATGGTGATGTGATGATTTCTGGCTGCTGTCTGCCTCGTCTTGCTGTGGACAGAGGCACGAAGGAAATGGAGTAGAGAGAAGATAACATGAGAGCGGTCCATTTCCTCACATGTGCATTTTCTCTGATTAGAGCGAAAAGAAAAGAAAAGAAAAGAAAAGAAAAGAAAGAAAGAAAAAACACGCATTTGAGGCACATTTTGAAGCCTCAGAAGCAGATTAGATGGAGAAGGAAACAGTACATTCTCTGTTATCATAACCACCCTCAGCAGCTACCGCAGCCACGAGCCCTTTCCCAGCTCCCCTCCTCTCTTCCCCACCCCTCCGCCCCTCAACCGAACACACTAGTACTACAACCCAGAGCACACCTTTTCCATTACAATGCATGCCCGTGCAACCATTTCCTCGACCACCCGCAGCAGCTGCAGTAACGACGACGAAAGATCGGCCCTGAAATTAGGCTGGCAAACCAGAACCCTGCACACCTGGTGGTGGGGAGTGGTGGGGAGTGGTGGAAAGAGGAGATGGGGAGTGATATTGAGTGGTGAAGAAGTCATCAGCATCACAAAGTCCCTGCACGCCTGCTGGTGGGGAGTGGTGACCAGCAAGGCGTGGTCAGGAAGCACAAAGCGGTGATCCCGGCAAGGTGGCATGCGGAAACGGGCTCACCAGCTGCTGTGTTGGAAAATATGTTTTGAGACGCTCAAGACAAGAAAAGACGTCTCAAAACAAATTTTCAGGCGCCTCGTTTTTTATTTTCTTAGACGCTCAAGACAAGACAAGACAAGACAAGACAATGCAACGTCTCGAAACAAGACTCACCAGCTGCTCTGTTGAAGCTGGGTTGGCCTTTCCGAAAATAGCAGCAATGTCCATCAGCTTGGGTGCATCGAATATACGCATGGAGAGAAGCAGGTCTGAGAGAGAGAGGGGGGAAGGGAGGAAGAGGAAGGAAAGGGGGGGGGGGAGAAGGGGTGGAAGGGGGAGGCGTGTAGAGATGGTTAACCTTTCTGAAGAGAGCAACCTTCGTAGAGAAGGGGGATATTGATGGACTTTTGAGATGACTCAAAGCAAGCAACCTCAGAACTTTGGCAGGGGAAAAGTTCATGGATGGGGGACGGGGGAGGGGAGGGGGACGGGGGAGGGGAGGGGGGAGGGGGGAGGGGGGAGGGGAGGAGTTCGTGGCTGCAAGCAATGTGTTGGACGGTAGTGAGGTAGGTGGAATACAGGCGGGCTGCGGAGGCCACTGCAGCAGCCGTGGTGAGGTGCTGTATTCCATCTACGACTATTGAGAATTAATAATAATAATAATAAATATATATATACATATATAAATAAATAAAAAATCTCAGTAAGGTGCGGAGGCACACCTGTATTCCATCTTCGATTCAGGGATGGGGGAGGGGGATAGAAAAGCATTAGAGGTTTGTTGCGCAGAGATGCATTACAGGATTGGAAGGATGGCAGGCTTACTCGCATGGTCCTTTGCTTGAAGCTGCACTGACGGTTTGGCTTTAGACTCGATATTAGACGACCTGGTAGTGGCACCGATACGGAGGGAAATGCACGTCACAATCTGAGACATAGCTACACGATACGCACATGCATGCAAGGATGCATTCACATGACGCCAGAACGGGAATATGGGAATGCAGGAGGAAGGATATGAATCGTCAGCACAGTAGCTCAGAAGCAAGCCTGAAGAGGCTCTTGAGTCGACTCAAAATTCACCTCTTGAGTTGATTCAGGAGGACGGATGTAGATCAATCAACATAAGAGCTCAGGAGCAAGCCTGAAGATGCACTTGTTGGCTTCCCCATGCATACCCATCCATACATGCATACCCATCCATACATGCATAGCTATCCATAAATGCATACCTATCCATACATGCATACCTATCCATACATGCATACCTATCCATACATGCATACCCATCCATACATGCATACCCATCCATACATGCACTCCGAACACACTCACATCACATGCGCAGCAGCAGCAGCAGCAGCAGCACCAGCCAGCATAACTCCTCATCCCCCATCACCACTCCCCTCCCCAATGCAATTCAACCCTAATATTCGAAAACAAAAAAGAGGTCGGACTCACATGCGCAGCAGCAGCAGGAAAACCAGCCGACACAACTCCTCATCACCCACCACCACTCCCCTCCCTGACCCCTCACTCCCCTCTCCTCCGCTCCCTACTCCATCCTCCCCCTCCGCTCCTGCTACGATGACTGCTCTAGAATTTGCAGCAGTTGTCATTGCAGCAGCAGTGGGTGCAGCAGCAGTAGCAGCAGCAGCAGCAGAGAGCAGGAGGTCGAACCACCTGGACCGGAAGCGAAGGTACGAATCGAGGAACGTTGCAAGAGAGGGCGTGCGGGCAACTGGGCAAACGAGGGGAGGAGGGATTTGGGAAAAGGGGAAAGGGGAAGAGGGAGGAGAGGGCGGCACAACCTTGAACTCTCTCGACCGGAAGCGAGGGTATGGATCAAGGAACGTTACAAGAGAGGGCGTGCGTGCGAGCAACTGGGCAAACGAGAGGAGGCAAGGGTTGGGAGCAAGGGGAGGCGGGGAAGCGGGAGGGGAAGGGGTGGTGGGACATGGGAGAGCGAAATCCTAAAAGAAAACCTTTAAGAGATCAGTCAGGAGGAGTTTGAGGATGGGTTGTGTGGAAGATGTGCATGGGGACGCATGTAAGGATGTGGGGGATGCACAGTTTCCCCAGGCACATCGTCATCAGTTGTTCCAGGGGTGTGTGTGGGTACACACTTCCCCCACCCTCCCCCATTTCAACACCACACACACACACGCACCCTGCAACCATCCCCCCCCCTCCCCCCCCTCCCCCCCCCACCACACACACGCACGCACGGACGCACGCACGTACCTGATCTCCAGAACTGCTTAGCTGGCAATCTCAGCATCTCTCGGAGCCTCTCCACCGTCCGATCAACCATTCTCTGCGTCTCCCCCGAATCCACCCCTGCCAGACCTGCTGCCGAACCTCCCACCAAGCCTCCATCCGAACCTCCTGCCGAACCGCTTACCATACCTCCCAGTCTGCATACCCCACCCGCCAGGATCTCATCCTGTGGCAGATAAGACAAAAACGGCTCCTCCTCCTGAGCTGCTGCTACAGCCGCTGCTGCCACAGGTGCTGCTACAGCCGATCCTGCAGATGCTGTATTGAGCATTGCAACACCCGCTACAGATGTTGTAGCAGCTGATGCTGTCGTGGCTTCAGGAGAACCTGCGGCTACAACTTGCTGGCGTGGTGCGAATCCCGGAGGGGCTCTTGACGAGGCAGGCTGTAACGAGGATGAGCCAAAGCCTGGAGGGAAAGCAAGAGAGGCGGACGAGGAGGATAGGGAGGAGGATGAGGTGTCAAAGCCAGGAGGGATAGCAAGGCCAGACGGGCCAGCTGTAGCAGCTGTAGCAGCTGAAGATTCTTCTTGAACTGCCCGCTTCTCGAATCCAGGAGGCGCTGACAGGGTCGTTGGGGCAGATCCCAAAATTCCTGAGTTGCCCGTGGCATTTTGATTTTGCCCTTCAACTGATTGCCACTGTTGCATCTGTCCCCCCTGCTCCGCGTGCTGCTGATAGTTCCTTCCCCCTCGTCCGCCCCCGCCCCATCTTCCGCCAAACCCACCTCCCCGCCCTTGCCTTCCGCCTCCCCCGTCCCCGCGCCAGCCGCGCTGGTCCCCTCCCCCATACCTTCCGCCGCTTCCGCCCCGCCCGCCCCTCCCTCCGCCACCCCAGCCTAACCCATCCCCGTCGCCTCTTCCCCCTCCGCCCATCCCAGCACCGTCCCCCGAACTGTCTCCCCTTCCGCGGCCTCCGCCTCCGCCGCCTCCCCTCCCCCGACCACCGCCTCCCCGCGGCCGCCACTCGCGCCCTCCGCCTCCGCGGCCTCCGCCCTCCCGCCCTCCGCCATCCATGTCTACCGGCGAGGGGGAGGATGGAAAAGAATGAGATCGGATATCTCCGGATGTGACTATACGAGGATCTAGTTGGTGTCAGATGCTTGTGCTTCTAATGAGTGCGTGCCCATATAATCAACAGCGAATGGTCGATGAACCCTACCGTTTCCTAGGGCAGAGTGACAAACACGGCCTTCCAGCTGGCGAATCAGAGCGCAACACGTGGCTGGACAAACGAAATCTCTCGATCAGCAATCTCTTCCGCGACTGCTGCCTTCCCTATCTTTCGTTGAGTCGCTAAACTTCGCGAATCGATCGACCAGGTGGAAGCAACGAACCTCGCGAGCACCCTGCCGCTTATGTTACCACGATGCACTACTGAGAAATGGGGCGTACGAGATATCGATTGTCAATCGAGCCTAGAAAGAGATTCTTTCAGGTTGTGAACACTACTGCGTCCGACATATCGATGGGAGAGAGAGGCCTGCTTTTCTACTACCCTACCGTTGGCTCCATAACTCACGATTCACGAAGGAATGACCTTCCTCCTACTACTGTCCTGTAGAATGATCCGCTAGGAGAAAGTAATGTTGGTTCTTCTGGTCTGACCCGAACGAATCCTGAATCCGAGGTTGCAGTCACGTAATCCCCTAGGCCCTCGCCCAGCAAATGGGGGAATCTCGAACCCGACATACGCCGACACTACGCCATTGGAAGATCGGTTGGTAGGTACACTTTTCGTACACTTGTATCAATTCTACTCGACTCTTTAGTATACAAGCAACAAGGTCTTGTCATTCAATAATAGCCACCCGTTACACCAGTTGTGTTTTGAGGAAAACGTCACAAAATGAAACGACAACTGCAAAAAAACTGCATCATCTTGTCATATTGCTAGCAGCCATAGCCCGTCCTCTCCACACTTGCCTCTCATCCACCAACCTCCCCCCACCACTTCCCCCATAAGCACCATCACCATAAGCACCTGGGCCATAAACCCCGTTCCCATACCCCCCATTCCCATACCCACCATTTCCATAACCACCACCAGGAGCACCATTTATACCGCCTCCATAACCCTCATAATACCCCTCATCCTCGTCAGAGTCATACTCGTTATAGTCATCCTCGTCATCATCCCGCCATCTCTCAGAAGGCAGCTCTTCTGGCAGCAGATACCCCGCTGCCTCGGCGTTTCTGATGCCAGTGGCAGTGCAACACGTGGCAAGCCCAAACAGGGCTGTAGCTGCCGACCAGAGAGAGGAGGTTGTAGCACCAGCTGTAGCAGCAGCTTCTGCTGGTACCTTCCCCACTCCTGCCGCCGTTCCTCCTGCCGCTCCTGCTGCTGCTCCTGCTGCTTCTGCTTTTCCGGAGCCTGATCTTGAAACCATCATTTGCTGCTGTGAGGGGTGGAACGGAGGCTGCTGCATCCCCTTACGGCTCATCTTCCCCCCACCTCCTCCTCCTCCTCCCATTCCTCCCTTGCCTGGCGCAACCATCACTCCTCCCTCCCCCTTATACCTCCCGCCTCCTCCTCTCGGTCCGTACCCCTTCGCGTTTGAAACCCTTGCGTAGCCTCCCATCCGCCCCACCACAGGAACAGGGCCAGCAAACTGCTGCGAATGAGGCAGCGGCGGGAACGGAGCAGCATAATACGGCGGGAGCTGCTGAGGAGGAGGGACGCCAAACCCTCTCATGGGCCGTGCACCATACCCCGCCACTGCTGCACCACCACCAGCGTAGGCAGGGGGAGGGTACGGGTGATTGTACTGGACAGGGTACGGCCCGGTTCCGGCTGCGTGTGCGGCAGAGAGAGCAGCAGAGGTGCGCGCCCTCAGGGACTCTAGCGCCTGCTCCAGCGCAGCCATGGCCTGGAGCACGTCCGGGTTCAGTGCATCCAGAGCATCCTCTGCAGCACCAGCGCTAGCAGAACCAGCAATGGGGATACCACCTACCCCAGTACCACCTGCACCGGCACTGCCTGCAAGAGCTGCTGCTGCAGCAAAGGCTGCAGTGATGGCAGGGTCCTTGGACGAGTAGGGCGCGAAGGCAGGCGGGGGCGGGTGGGGGTGAGTGTGGTGGTGAGGGTGGGGGTGAGGGTGAGTGTGAGGGTGGGGGTGAGTGTGAGGGTGGGCTGTAGCCTCTGAGTCCGAGTCTTCCAGGGTGATGAGCAGCTGATCCTCTGCGTCTTCAAACACATCCTCCTCCTCATCTCTGCGACTACTCACTGCTGCTGAACCTGCAGCTGATGCTGCTGCTGACACAGCTGCTCGTTCTGTATCTGCTGCTGTCACTGCAGGCCTGAGTGCCACCTCACTAGCCCCCTCTACAAACGACGCCGTGGCCACAAGCACGTTCTTCTCCTCCTCCTTATCCTCCTCCTCCTCGCCCTTCCTTGCAGCCCCCTTCGCCCTATACGCGTCCATAGCCGCTTCGATCCGCCCATAAAGCTTCTCCTCTTTCAACACTTTCCTAAAAGCCACGCCCTTTTGCCCCTCTTCGTCCCCCAAATCCGTCTCCACCTCCTTCCTAAATAAGTTAAACAGCACGCCGCCGAACTCCTTGGTGACGAAATTGACCACCATCGCAGGGAGCTTTAGGTCGCACGTGAAGATGGAGCGGAAGTGGCAGCGCGAACGGCCAAGATCCTTTATGGAGAAGCCGCCGTTGATGGCCATGCGGACCATTCCCGAGGGGACTGGAGGCGCCATGTCGCGAGAGAAGCCGTGGATCGAGGGGTCTATCTCACTGTTGTCCTCTGGTAGCTGGATGTATGGAAGGGGAGAGACGAGGGGGGGAAGGGGGGGGAATGAGAACCATTCCCGAGGGGACTGGAGGCGCCATGTCCCGAGAAAAGCCATGGATCGAGGGGTCTATCTCAATGTTGCCCTCTGGAAGCTGGATGTATGGAAGGGGAGAGACGAGGGGGGGAAGGGGGGGGAATGAGAACCATTCCCGAGGGGACTGGAGGCGCCATGTCGCGAGAGAAGCCGTGGATCGAGGGGTCTATCTCACTGTTGTCCTCTGGTAGCTGGATGTATGGAAGGGGAGAGACGAGGGGGGGAAGGGGGGGGAATGAGAACCATTCCCGAGGGGACTGGAGGCGCCATGTCCCGAGAAAAGCCATGGATCGAGGGGTCTATCTCAATGTTGCCCTCTGGAAGCTGGATGTATGGAAGGGGAGAGACGAGGGGGGGAAGGGGGGGGAATGAGAACCATTCCCGAGGGGACTGGAGGCGCCATGTCCCAAGAAAAGCTGTGGATGGAGTGGTCTATCTCTCAGTTGCCCTCTGGAAGCTGGATGTATGGGAGGGTAAGAGAGGGATGGCGGGACGGGGGAAGATGAGGGAGTAGCAGGAAAGCCGTCGATGGCGATTCGGACCATTCCCGAGGGGACTGGGTGTGACGTGTCGCGAGAAGCACCATTGGGGAGATGGGAGAGCAACAGCAGGCCTACATACCGTGTGGCGCGGTGGGGAAAAAAATCGCGGGACTTGGCCTCGAGAGGGGGGGGCTTCACGCCACGACTCGAAACACGCACCGTCAATGAGCAGCAGGAAACACTCACCGTGCGGACGACGGTGGTGGCGACGCCCGTCTCCGAGTCGTAGATGGTGAAAAAGATCATCGCGAATTCCTGCCAGGGGAACGGCCATGGCACCTTGAACCTGCGGGAAAAAAGGGGAAGAGAGGGGGGGAGAAGGGGGGAGCGGGTGAGGGATGAGCGGGGTTCGAACAAGAGAGAGGAATGGGGGAAGCGCGGGCTCAGGTTGGCAGGTCGTGGGGAAGGGCGACTCTGAGGGTCTTAAGAGATGGTCCAGGAGCTGTAGCAGAGGGAGAGTCTATTACGTTACAGTGACGTCATCAGTGAGAATCGATATGCTGCTCACTTAGAGCACCGCATGGCGACATGGATATCGGTGTACTCGCTTCATGTAAGTGCTATCGAACGAAGTGACCTTTGAGTCGACTCAAAAGTCATATCGGTGTACTCACTGCTATCGAACGAAGCCGTCCCCCACGCGCGCGAGGTATCTATTCTCCACGATGCGGTACGCCGGCATGTCGCCCTGCGGCCACCACTCCTTGAAGAACCCCGCATCTATCAATACACTATGTACTCTGTTGTATACCAAATATAGACTCACTTCATGTAAGTGATATCGAAGCCGTCTCCCACTCGCGCGAGGTACCGATTTTCGACGATTCGATAAACCGGCATGTCGCCCTGCGGCCACCACTCCTTGAAGAACCCCGCGTCGCGCGTCATCGCGACGGCGGCGTGCACGGGGCTGTCGATGCGCCCCTCCATGCACAGCGCGTTGATCGCCGTGCCCTCCGGGCCCTTCCTCAGCATCGCGCGGTGCTCTGGACCCTCCTCGCACATCTGCAAACGGAGGGGACGGGACGCATGCACGGATGGGGTGAGAGGAGGAGAGGAGCCACCGCGGCGTGCACGAGGGGGCTGTCGATGCGTCCCTCTGTGCACGTCAGAGTAAATTCGTTTTGCGACGTCGTCTCAAAGGCCGCATCGACGGCTTCGCTTCGTCTCAAAGCGCGAAGCTGTCGATGCGTCCCTTTATGCACACGTGTAAGAAGAGCGTGCTTTGCAACGTCTTTTAGAAAAGGAAAAAATAGGGCAGCACGAGGGAAGGAAGAAACACCTCTCATTCTTTCGTCGAGTGACAACCCAGCACTGATCCACGCGTTGCAGTCGGCAGGATCAGCGTTGGGTCGCCGTCGGACTGACGAATAGTTCCGAAAGGGAAAGGTAGAGCAGCACTTGGGAAGAAGGAGGAAGTGCCTTCCACGCATTGCAGTCGGCAGGATCAGCGGTGGCGGGAGCCTCCACGCTGACGCTCAGTCCAGTAGAGGTAAGCTAGCGACTCGGGGGAAGGAAGAAGTACCTTCCACGCATTGCGGTCGGCAGGATCAGCGGTGGCGAGAGCCTCCACGCTGGCGCTCTTAAGGTCGTCCATGAGCTTGATCGTCCTCTCGCGTCCAGTAAAGGGAAGAAATACAAGCTAGAAACTAGAGGGAGGAGGGAGGGAAGTACCTTCCACGCATTGCGGTCGGTAGGATCCGTCGTGGCGAGAGCCTCCACGCTGACGCTCTTAAGATCGTCCAGGAGCTTAACGGTCTCTGCAGCCCAATAGTCCGCCACGCTGCTGCTCGATCCACCTGCTCCAGCTGCTAAGCCGTTCTTCACGTCGAGCTGCTTGCGTATAAGAGCCGTGACTCTATCGAGATCTGTCCATGTGGGCTCCTCGAGAGCCTGATCGAGCAGGTCGATGCCTTCCGCTAAAGCCATGGCTTGAATACCCACCCTCTCGTCGTCGTTTCTACTAGTAGAGAAAGTGAATTATCGTCGGAACGTGGGAATGTGGGAATATGGAAAATGGAATACAAGAGTATGGGAATGTTATCGACGGATTTGGCAGTTGCGCGCTGAGTTCGCTTCCAGGCTTGATTCCAGTTTGTACGATCGTGTTCTGAATTCGAGCCTACTATCGTCGTGACAGTGCAGTCTTGAGGTCGTACCTGGACAGCTACGCGGCGTTGAGAGGATACAGGGAGAACGATTGACACGAGAGACGATTATCTGGGATGGAATATAGGTTGCTATTGCTTCAAGACTGGCGGACAAGTGACAACCGAAGGTGACGGGTGATATGATAGTTCGGAGCTTGGAAGTGCACCAGTGTTCCAGGCACAACCAAGCCTGACTAGGGCAGTGTACAGTAGCTTCCGGTGAGAGGGCATCCCTATGTCTCGTCTGGCCGGAGAAACCGTGTACTACAGTTGGCCAAGCCGCGCGGCAGTTCCTAGGCCTTCGCTCAGCCGCTACCGAAGACCGCGTGGTGGTGATATCTAAGTCAGTGCTTATGTAAGCGCGTTTCTTAGTGTGGCATTTAAACCTGGAAGAGGGTAGAGTTCCCGATATATGAAGCTGTCCCCATCCAGAGAGCAAGGTAGCAGCAGTATGGCGACAAAAGCGGGCTTATTTGGATGGACGACCAGGGTCGGAGAAAAGGAATCTGCGAGAACCGTGCGACGCCTGATGGCTCGCAACGCAACGCAACGACGCCAAAAGAGCGTGCGTCGTGCGTCCGAAAACCAATCAATTCCATTCGCCAAACACGGCGACTGCAGTGGCGGTCGTAAGGGGAGGTGAGGTGATTTGAAAGTTTCAATTCGGTGCTACTGCTGGTTTGGGGGACCTAAAAAATCGAACGGACCGCCTAGTTTCGCACCGTTAGCCTCGAATCGCTTACTTACGCGCATCGCGCCAAAGCTTTCTGGGCCAGGTGGGAGCGGTGGGGTTCACCCCACCGACCTATGCTGACCGATGTACGCAGTTAGGATATTTCTCCGGTTCTCGCTGTGAAAACATCTACTTCACCCTATAAAAGATCATATGCTATCGTGTTGGAAAAAATATATAAGGAACTATTTTGTATGCTATCCAATTTCTTAACAAAACAACACATCAAACCTATATGACATATTGAACATAAAAGCTACTCAACTTGAACTGTCTTCCGAGTGTGAGAGAACCTTAACCATAAGAATCTCTTGCCGATTCTCGGCAAAAAAATCCTCTTTCCCCTTTCATTCATTCGCCCGTCTACCTTATTAGTGCTTGCGTTCTCCACATACTCCGCCGATGCAACTTTGTCGCACCCACTGGCTATCTCTGGAATAACGTCACTGGAGTCCACTGCCATTTCGGGGCCATCCTGAGATTTTGAGGCATGTGGCTCTGAGAGCAAGACGAAGACTGCTCTCTCCTTCCTAGTTCCAGCAGTCGTCTTCACAACAGATTTCTCATGCTTGCCAGTGCCTTGTGCATCTGTAACAGCTGCTGCTGCCGTTTCTGCCGCTCCTGCTGCTGCCCGTGCACGCACAAATAGAATTGCCTTATCCAGAGTTGCAACCGCCCGGAAAATTGCAGGGTCTCTGTGGTACAACCCAGGGTAGCTGCTGGGACTGCTGTTACCGCTGCTACTCAGGCTGCTGCTGCTGCTGCCACTGCCACCGCAACTGAACGAGCTTCTGCTGCTGGTGACGCTGCAGCTGTTATTAAGCATATCTGGAATTCCACCTGCCCGGATGTTATTTATGCCACTGCTGGTGCTCCCAGTGATGGTTCGGATGCTTGGAAGCGGCCCCGAACGTACAGAGGACGACTCCCGAAGCAGGCTCGCCATGCCGTCTCCGGCTCCCGGACCTCCATGCCGAGCCAAAGGCAGAGGTCCGGAGGAAGGCGCGTGAGCAGCAGAGACAGCAGCCACGATTGTGGCAGCAGCGGCAGATGCTTCGCTGTCTGCCATACCAGCTGCTCCTCCCATCCCCCTCCTGCTTCCCACCCTGTCCCTAACATGTGAACCAAGTGAAGCTACTGCGACAGCCGGTTGTAGCACCGGCTTCGTCAGCGCTACAGCCGAGGCAGCTGCAGCCTCCAGCTGTAGCAGAGCCGCCTCTGCTTCCTCCGGCCCCAGCACATTTTCCCTCTTAGATAAAGACGACACAAGCCGCTCCACCTCCTCCTCCACCTTCTCCCCCAACCTTCTCATCGATCTCACCTCCTCCACACTCCCTTCCCTCATCCTCCTCTCCTCCTCCTCCGCCTTCCCCCTCGTATACTCAACCATAGCTTCCCTCAACCCCACATAGATAGGGTCCGAGGCTAGCAGCTGCTGGAACTTTCCTCGTCCCTTCGTCTTGTCATGGTTAACCCTGTCTTGCTCGTTTGTCCCGCTGGCTTTTACTATGGCTTCCACCTCGTGGCAGAGGAGGTGGTAACCAGAGCCTGCAAGCTGCCTTGCCACGAAGTTGATGAGCCACGGGGGCATGAGGTCGAGCTTGAGATCAAGCATGCATGCACCGCTGTGTGGGAGGAAGGAAAGAGGGCGAGAGGTGGGGGAAGAGCAGGGGAACAGGAAGGGAGGAGAGCGAGTGGGTTGATGAGCCAGGGGGGAAAAAGAGGGAGGGGGGGAAAAAGAGGGAGGGGGGGGAAAAGAGGGAGGGGGGAAAAAGAGGGAGGGGGGGAAAAAGAGGGAGGGGGGGAGAAAGAGGGAGGGGGGGAGGAAGAGGGATGTGAGGTGGAAGAGGCGGTAGAGGAGGGGGGCGTTGTGTGGTGGGAGGGGGGGAGTAAGTCGAGGATATGTGGCCGCATCCCAGGTCCTGGCCAGCAAAGCCCCTGTCCACTGCCATGTGCACCAAACCAGACCCCACTGGCGGCACACTATTTCGGTATAATACAGTTGCAAGAAACTAGCAAGAAGCAACGAACTTACCGGAAGTAGCTGCAGCTGCACCCCACGTCCTGGCCGGCAAAGCCACCAGCTACTGTCACGCACACCAGACGAGACCCCACCCCACTGACGGAACACTGGCTCGGTGTAACACAGGCATAAGCCGCTAGGGATAGGGTAGCAGCAGAACATGGTCGTACCGGAAGTAGCTGCGGCCTCCTCCCAGATCCTGGCCAGCAAAGCCGCCGTCCACTGTCATGCGCACGAGACCAGGCCCTATGGGTGGCACGCTGGCTGCGTCTAGGACTGACGTCTCGGGGTCCAGATGAGACGGGTCCTCTGGCGGCTGGAGGGAGGGAGAAGAGAGCAACGAAGGGGAAGGAGAAGCTTGAAGAGCAGCCATGGCTGGATGTACAAGGCTAAGGCTAAGCCAGACCATGCCATGCTGGTGGCACAAGGCTAAGGCTAAGCCAGACCGTGCCCTGCTGGTGGCGCGCTGACTGCCTCTAGGACTGACGTCTCGGGGTCCAGACGAGGGGGGTCCTCTGGCGGCTAGAGGCAGGGAGAAGAGAGAAACTGCAAAAGGGTGGGGGCAGAGACAAGTGGGCCTTGTTTCTGGGTGTCCATCGTGTTCTGGTGAGCCAAAGCCTTCTCCTTGAGGAAGGCAGGGCAGGTCGAGAGGGAAAGAGCAGCTCGAGAGGGGCTGTTGAGTTAACCCATCAAAACACCAGCTGAGCCAGAAACAAGACTCGGCGCAACAGTCACTGAGAGCATAGCCTCAACAAAGAGCCCTATGGCTGTGTGCTGCACCACGAAGGCAAGGAAGAGCAGCTTGACTGGACTTGAGTTGCACCGGGACTAGTGGACTGATCAAATCACTTACCGAGAGCACAGTCGCCACAAAGAGCCCAGTGGCCGTGTCTTGCACCATGAAGGCAATGAAGAGCAGCTCGCGCGAGGAGAAGGGCCAGGGGGACTTGAAGCTGCAGTGCACCCAGAGCAAAACAAGCTGAACTGAGCAGGGTGAACTGAGCAGGGTGAACTGAGCAGCAGAGCTATGCTCATGAGGTGCATCAGAACAAGCATGACTCGTTGTAGAAATCACCATGCCTCGTTATAGGCATCACCATGACTCGCTATAGGCATCACCATGACTCGCTATAGGCATCACCATGACTCGCTATAGGCATCACCATGACTCGCTATAGGCATCACCATGACTCGCTATAGGCATCACCATGACTCGCTATAGGCATCACCATGACTCGCTATAGGCATCACCATGACTCGCTATAGGCATCACCATGACTCGCTATAGGCATCACCATGACTCGCTATAGGCATCACCATGACTCGCTATAGGCATCACCATGACTCGCTATAGACATCACCATGACTCGCTATAGACATCACCATGACTCGCTATAGGCATCACCATGACTCGCTATAGACATCACCATGACTCGCTGCAGATAGCTGAGTGCTAGGCTCAGTGCGACGCGCTCTATGGTAACTCTCTGAAAGACATCATCGTGAGTCATGACTCGGTATCAACACAAGCAGACACAAGTGGACACAAGTGGACACAAGCAGACACAAGTAGACATAAGCAGACACAAGCAGACACAAGCAGACACAAGCAGACACAAGCAGACACAAGCAGACACAAGCAGACACAAGCAGACACAAGCAGACACAAGCAGACACAAGCAGACACAAGCAGTCATCATGACTCACTGCAGGTGGCGGAGCTCTAGGGCCGGACCAATGCGCTCCATGGTGGCGGCAATACTCTCCACAGACAAACCAACTACTCACTGCAAAGACAAGCATAACGCACTATAGACAGACAAGTGGCTCGCTGCAGGTGGCCGAGCTTTAGGTCCGAAAACGATGTGCTCCATGGTAACACTACTCGCTATATACATAGGCATTACTCGCTATAGACACAAACATAACTCGCTATAGACAGAAGCGTGACTCACTGCATGTAGGTGAGCTCTAGCCCGGGTGCGATGCCATCCGCAGTACCACTACACGCAATAAGCATAAGCACTACTAACTACAGACTACCCGCAGAAGCGCGACTCACTGCAGGTAGGTGAGCTCTAGCCCGGGTGCGATGCGCGTGGCGAACTTGGACTCGAGCACCTTGAAAGGCGGAACGCTGAACTGAGGCCACCTGCATGCACGGGGTGACGTGGCATGGGATGACGTGGAGTGGGGTGATGTGGGATGTACCGGGGGAGAAGCGAGATGGATAGGATGTGTGTGCAACACCGTGGGAGAAATGCCTGTCGTATTTGAACACGAAGGAGTGGGGAAAGGAGGGAAAAGGGAGAGCTGGGAGGGTTGTGGGGGGAAAGAGAGGAGGGAGGAGGCGGGGAGGGGGGAGGGGTGAAGCGGCAGGCGGAGGGGTGGGAGGGACTGGTGTGAATGGAAAGTGGGGAGAAGTTGGCCGTGAGCATGACTTGAAAAGGTGTTTTCTGTTTTCTCTCTCAAGAATCACCTTAAGCATGTTTCGATAAGGGAGGTGAAGAGGTAGGACTGCTTTGGATTAGAGAGCATCGGCCCTCACTTACCAGCAGGGGTTAGAGCATCGGCCCTCACTTACCAGCTGGGGTTAGAGCATCGGCCCTCACTTACCAGCACGGGTAAGAGCATCGGCCGTCACTTACCAGCATGGGTAAGAGCATCGGCCCTCACTTACCAGCATGGGTAAAAGCATCGGCCCTCACTTACCAGCATGGGTAAGAGCATCGGTGCGCTTACCAGTCCTTGAAGAACGGGACTTCCCAGACCACAGCCAGCACTGCAGTGTGACACACAGAAACGGGATAAAGGGAGAGACGACAGGGATGACGGTGCACGGGCAGGAAAAAAGGTGAACAGTGAACCCACAATTGCCGTTGATCATGGGATCTCACTTGTTGACAACGGAAAAGCAGACAGTAGCAGACAGCAGGGAACGTACACCTGTCAGGCAGCAGGACGTACGCGTGTCAAGGGGGCCGTTGATGATCCCTTCGAGGCAGATCTCGTGGAGCGGCGTGCCCTCGGGCCCCTTGCGGTACAACACGCGGTGCTCCCTGCCCTCCTCCTTCAGCTGCGAGACAAACAACGAGGGAGAGGCCAGAAAGAAAAGGAAGATCCCATTGACCAACCAAAGATCTCCTGGCGCGGTACAGCACGCGGTGCTCCTTGCCCTCCTCCTTCAGCTACGAATAGGGGCAGAGAAAAAGATACGGGTGGGGCGGGCAGGCAACAGAAGGCAATTTGACTTGACCGACCAAAAAGCCTGGCTGCTTGTTACGGTACAGCACGCGGTGCTCTCTGCCCTCCGCCTTCAGCTGCGAAAGCAGCGATACGCACATGGTCGAAGAGAGACGAGAAGGAGAGCTGAGGGATCAGAGGGTCTGGCTGCTCGCCACGACGTGGTTGCGGTACACCACGCCGTGCTCCTCGCCCACCACTGTCGAGGTTTGAGGCGCCCCAAAACTAGACTCCTATCACGCCGTTGATCGCCCGTGGTCGCGCGCGGTGCTCCTCCTCGCCGTCCACTGTCGATTTCCATCAACCCCGCGACTCCACATAAGCCTCTCAATCTCTCCCGCCACTGTCGGTCGGACGTTGCCGCTATCGACGCCGCCCTCCCTGATGCTCTCGCTCTTCAGAGCCAGCGACTCCACAAGGGCATGCGAGTCGTTCGCAATAGCCCCTTACCCGCCACTGCCGGTCGTTGCCTGCCGCTGTCGATGCGGTCCTCCCTGATGCTCTCGCTAGTGAGCACGAGGAATAGTAATTTCGTTTTGAGTCGACTCGCAACGAAATTACTATTCCTTGTGCTCTCGCTGGTGAGCGCCAGGGATGACACGCCCGCCTCTACCCCTTCCTAACGCGCAGCTTCCTACATGTCTCACCCGCCACTGTCGGTCGTTGCCGCTGTCGACGCCGTCCTCTCGGATGCTCTCGGCGTTCAGAGCCAGCGACTCCACATCCGCCTCCCCCGCGCTGCGAAGGCTGTCCAGCACGCCAAGTAACTCCTTGGTCCGCGCCTCGACCACCTTCTCGGAGAACCGCGCGCAACGCGCTGGCTTGGTGGTCTCGGTGTCAACACCGTCTTTTGATTCGGGGAGGATGTTCTCCTTATTGGAATTCCCGAGAATGTTACCGCTGGCACCGAGAGTGGTGCTGACATTTTGCTCCTCGCAAGCCGTAGCTGCGAGAAAATAGCACGGGGAGGGGAGGGGGAAGGGGAAAAGGAAAATAAGGAGACCGGAGAAGGGGGGAGGAGTCGTTGACAATAGGTAGACCACATCATATGGCGTAAGAAGCGATTGTCCTTCTTCACTTCATCATTGGTAGTGTCAACGTGGCGTCGCGTCTGTGGCCCTTAAACTTTTCGTCTACCATCTTCTTGCGGGGAAGCATGGAGCTGTGTACTACGCTACGCTTTGCTGCGCATCACTATGTACTCAGATGCCGCCTGACGGCAACTGCAAGTAACGCATCCACTACGGGAAAGGGGATACCGACGCGTTCTACGTACATAGATGCAGCCTGGCAGCAGCTGCAAGTAAACGTTTCTACTGGGGGGAACGACGACAACGATTGCGTACTTCGTACGACAAGCTACGTACCCAGATGCCGCCTGACAGCAGCTGCAACGGCATCGCGATCCGTCCACGCAGGCGATGCGAGCGACTTGTCGAGCGCCTGACGAGCTTCTAAGAACGACATTGGAACAACTACGTTGCAGACCCTGAAGGGAGGTAAGTTACTACTTGCTGTGAGAGGAAGGAGGTACTACTACTAGTTACAAGTGCTTAGCTAAAGCTCCTGGTATTAAAATAGATTCGCCGTGAATGCAAATTCTGGATGCCGATGTCGAGCTCCTCGTACAACAGGATCGACGGACAAGATGTTTGGAGATCAACCCCGAGATGCAAGCCGTGCAGAGATCGTTGCTAAGGAACGGGAACACGGCCACTCTGGGGGACACGCCTAAATGGATGCAGCGAAGTGTCTTCTATCTACATTGTAGCGCAGGCCGAGTGAGGGCCAAGTCCTCAAGAGCTAGTCTAGATGAAGTGAAGGGAAATATGGCGTTCTCAGGAACTGCTTGTAATCGCTTGCTGAGTGCCTCTGAAAGAATCTGTAGAGGATTTGTTTCTTTCATCAGAATTTGAATGGCAGGTATCCAAACCAAGGGGCTCGTTTCGTTGCCCTTGCTTAGTTCGAGGAGCGGAAATCGACGGGAGATATTGGTCAGGTTGATTCATCCACGGTCATCATTACCCTGCTAGTGCTTGGGGTGCTCGAACTGTTCGGGATGGAACAAGACGGGACGGGGGGCGGAACGGGGGTTCTTCCGAAATGGTTTGGTTGTTTTGTTCATGCCCGACTGCTGCCGCCGATCGACTTGCTTGGGGTACGCGGCGCGCGGGCATTGGGAATGGCGCGGCCTGGAATGCTAGGCAAGGGGAGAGGGCAAGGGCAGTGCAAGTGCACCGTCAGGGCGAATCTGGTCCGTGGGATTTTTGTGGCCAAGGAATGTGGCTGTGTATACACTTATTCTACCTTACACTCAACGTCACTGACCGAGCCTCGGCAAAATGTAAAACTGAAGACTATTTTGGACGCATGTGAGTAAATGCGAGTGGCAAGGGTTGTTCGTACGCAGTGCACTACACAGGCGTGTCAGGAGCTCAACGGCGAACAACAACGTTGCTTTGACGCGTGGCGTACATGCACTGGGTTCGATCGCGAGAAGATGTTTCTCGTGATTTCTAACTTCGCAGAGCCACATAACTCATGCATTGTGAATCTGGATGGCGTCGTGATTGGTCGAAAATGTTATGAGAAGCAAGATTGCGCAAAATCTTCTTCGAATGTTCCATTACTGTTTCTCGTGTATTCGATTATAACGTCATTGAATTATATTGGGGTATATGGTTACATGAAGTGTAACGAAAAATTGGAGTGTTTCGCTGTGGACTGTTTGGTGGAATAGGTGTAAAACATTTTCCAGCAAACCGCAATCTCGCATGCCTCCGACCTCACGACTTGCTTTGGACGGAAGCTGGGAAGGAGACATGGATGCAACGTGGCATGTCGGTTTGTTTGTGCGACTGCCTTGGAATGTGCATCGCCTCGCGACGCGAAGGCTAATGAAAGCATCAGCGGGGTCCCGCGTAACAACGGCTCGCATTGCCGCTCAAAATGAATTCAAGAGGGGGTAAATGTCACCACAATTTCATGAGTTGTTATGATAATATACGTGTACTGAGTCGACTAATGCAATATAGAGGTAGTGAGGACTAAATACAAGCACAACTAGCCTAGCAAGGTAGCATCGAGAAGAGTATGATAAAGATTGAGATAAAGACAAAAGAGTATGATTGTACGATTGAATAGGACAAGAGTACAATAGTAGAACTGTAGCACATATAAATAGAATTATAATGTGCTTGTAAAGAATTAGTGAAAAGGTACTCAAGTGAGTAAAAGGGGACTTGTGGAGAGAAAGATGCTTATACGGAAGAGTGAGAGACTTACTTATGTGTGTCTTACAAGGTAGAGAAGCTGTAGAATCTTGGGAGCAGTTCTTGATAGAGGAAGTCTTGCACTTGGGAAAGGGTCTTGAGCTTGGAAGGACACCACAAGCTTGAGAGGGGACCACAATCTTGGATGTGGTTGAAGGAGATGGTCTTGTACTTGACGAGTGAAGATACCACAAAGTTGAGTGTTGAAGAAGTAAGTCTTCCTACAAGCTTGTGGCTTGGTGATGCATCTTATACTCGAGTTGGGTATAAGATGGACTAATGCTTGATTACTTTGCTAATCTAGGAACTTTGTGGGAGAACTTTGAGAGCATAAACTTATATGAAATAGGGTATAGTACAAGCCTTATAATACATGGTGGATACAAGGACATGCATGAGAAAGAGACCACTCATAGTAGTCTAGGAAGAAAGGTAGCATGGTAATACCATCTCTAGAGACGTAGAACATGAATGCTAACAAGGAGCCTTTGTAGTGGTGTGAGCTTGAGGAGCTTGAAGAAGACTTGAAGGGGAGCTTGGAGGAGAGGAGCTTGGAGATGCCTTGTTGTACTTTGAGAAACTTCTTGAGAAGTTGGAGAGGATTCTTGGTGAAGATGAATAGTAGTAGAGCATGTGATAGTTGTTGAGCCTTTGGTGACTTGGAATTGTAGACCATGTGGTGTTGGAGAGAAGCTTGGATGAGTTGGAAAGGAAGGAGAGGAGGAGGAATGAAAGCTTTGTTGAGTTGGAAGGTGAGAAAAGTAAGGAATCATGAGAGTCTTGTATGATGATATGGCAACTTGGATGACTTGGGATAGGAAGGAAAGAAGGAATAAATAAGAGGCATGTGGAGGTTGATGAGTAGGGAAGGGAGGAATGTGCTTGAGGCACATGTGAGGAGGATTATTGGTTGGAGTAGATGACTTGGCGAATTCTTGATGAGTAGGAAGAGAGAGCGCATGGAAAATGATGAAGAGTCATGTGCCTTGAGGTAGGAGTTGGAGATGAATAGGAGGATTTGTTGGAAGCTTGGTTGAGGTGGACTAGGAATGATTATGAGAGTTGGGGAAAATTAAGGAGTAGTTGGGAGGCCTTAGGTTGGAGGAGATGAGCTGGAAAAGTTGGGTTGGAAATTTGGTAGGTAGAGTAGGTTTGGTTGGTGGGAAATGGGTTGGGGTAGGTAAAGAATTGTAACGAGCGGTTTTGGAGGGGGAGGGGTTGGAGTGGCGAGAGAAATGTGGCACGCGCATCACGTGCCACTCACAACACCCTCCCTCACTCCAAGCCTATACCCTCCAACCGGTACTGCTGCAACTGCTTCAACTGCTTCATGTATTGATGGATCAAATCTGCATCACGTCTGCGGCTGCAACGAGTCCTGCCTGAACACGGTTGTTGATGAAGGTGTCACGAGCAACCACCTTGGTGAGGAAGTCTGCCGCTTGTTCGCTTGTGCGACAGAAAAGAGGCTCGACGAGTTTCTGCTCCACTAGCTCCCGAACATAGTGATACTGCGTGCCGATGTGCTTGGTTCTCCCATGGAAAACTGGATTCTTGGTGAGCGCGATTGCGGATGTGTTGTCGATGAAGAGGGGAGTAGGTTTTTCCTGTGGGAGGTCAAGCTCCTTCAAGAGACCTCTTATCCACACTGCTTCTCGGGCTCCTTGGGTCACAGCCATGTACTCTGCCTCTGTAGATGATAGTGCCACACAGCCTTGCTTCTTCGACTGCCAGGAGATGGCCGCTCCTCCAAGCATGAAGATGTATCCACCAGTGGACCTGCGAGTGGTGACATCCCCAGCCCAATTTGCATCCGTGAAGCCATACAGCATGCATGCATCCTCAGACCCTTGAAAGAGGAGACCAAAGGTAGAGGTTGCTTTGAGATAAAGCAGGGCACGATGTGCCCCATGCAGATGCACGCGTGTGGGAGATGCCATGCATTGGGAGAGCATGGCAACAGTATGGGCAAGATCAGGACGGTTGCAGATGGAAGCGTACATAAGGCTGCCCACTTGGCTCTGGTAGAGGGAGAGCTGAAGGGGCGTGACCTGACTTGTGGACTGTGACGCATAAGTGTCATGACCGATATGCTCAAGGAGCTCTAAATCCTCAAGCTCACCCTCATGCTCTGTGACCTGACTTTCAAGCTCAGATGGATCAATGCTTTGCTCGGAGGAGCTCAGCAGGAAGTCGGATGGAAGGGGTGTCTCGACAGGGTTGCAGTTGAGGAGACCAAACCTTGAGAGGACCTTTTCGGTGTACCTTTGCTGTGAGATGAAGAGAGACTTGGATGGGCGATCTTTGACGATGTTCACACCAAGGTAGTGAGAGGGCTCACCCATGTCCTTCATGATGAAGTCTTGGGTGAGCATACCTTTTATGCGTGTGAGGAGACTCAGTGATGCTGACACAAGGAGGATGTCATCCACATAGACTAGGAGCCACAAGGACTCCCCCTCACTTGTGTGTAGCAGGTACAGTGCAGGGTCGAACTGTGACTTGGTGAAACCTTGGGACAGGAGTGCGACCTCAAGTGTGTGAAACCAGACTCGTGGTGCTTGCTTAAGCCCATAGAGAGACTTTAGCAATTTACAAACTTTGTTGGTCCCATCGGAGTAACCCTCAGGCTGCTCCATGTAAATCTCCTCATCGAGCTTACCATACAAAAAGGCATTCTTCACATCCATTTGATGGATATGAAGATCCTTCACTGTGGCCATCACCAAAAGACACCTGACTGTAGTGTACTTGGCTACAGCTGAGAATGTCTCAGTGTAGTCCGAACCTGGAATCTGTGAGAAACCTTTTGCTACCAGGCGTGCCTTGTACCTATCAAGGGTACCATCTCCCTTCTCTTTCACTCTATATGTCCACTTGACCTTCAGTGCTTTCTTACCAGGGGGGAGTAGTACCTTCACCCATGTGCCTTGTGCAAGGAGACTACCTATCTCCTTTCTCTCTGCCTTTACCCACTCCTTTCTTTGAGCACCAGCCATTGCTTGCTTATGGTTGGATGGCTCAGGTGGGAGACAGCTGATGGCATGACATATTGCAGCTACCTTGCACTCCATGCAGTGAGACTTTGTGCACCTGGGTGTGACAGGAAAGATCGCACCGACTGCGAGGTTCATGCGCTGTACTGGCCTGCGTACTCTCTTAGGCCGCTCTGCATTCTCACAGACGCCTTGCCGACTCGTGTTACCGCTCGGGACACTTGGTGGGGCGGGAGATGGAGTCGTCACTGGAACAGGTCCCGCCACATGATCAGAGGGAGGAAGTGGATCGGCTACAACTGGGACTGTCTGGAGACTTTCAGCAGGTGATGAAGATGATGGTTCTGGAGATGAATCGACTGGAGCTCGTAACTTCTCATGTGTTGTCTCCGGGGGTGACTGCTGCGGCAATGAAGATTGGAGTGGAGATGTGTCGTCAATTGGAAACAGGGACTGCGCGCGTTCTTGCTGCTGCGGTGATGAGGTTGGCGGATTCAGCTGCGACTCAGGAGCGGAATGAGTTTTCTCAGGTACTGGTTCAGCTGGAGTCGTGATTAGGTCTGGTGCACGAGATGCATGATCCACTACTGCTGTTGGAACAAGCTCTGTTGGAATGGGAGAGGCATCTTCGAAAGAGGTAGAAGGAGGGAGAAATTTTGCTTTCCATTGAGCAGGGGACATGTCTTCATGAAAGATCACGTCCCTGCTCACAATCTCCTTGGAGAGGAGAGGATCCCAAAGAACCCAACCCTTGCTTTCCATGCTCACTCCAAGGTGCATCCCCCATCGTGTTTTGCTCTCAAACTTTCCTCTCTTCTCATCAGGAATGCGATACTGCCCCATGCACCCAAACACCCTTAACATGGTAACGTCGGGCTTTGCCCTATACCATGCTTCATACGGGGTTATACCTGATGGAAGAGCAGCGGTTGGCCGTCGGTTCTTGAGATGAACGGCATGGTTCACCGCGTCTCCCCACCATGCATCACCTAGCTTCATATGGAGAAGAAGGGATCTTGCAATTTCTTGCAAGGTGCGGTTAAACCTCTCAGCAATGCCGTTTTGCTGAGGGGTGTATGGACATGAAAGGTTATGACCAATGCCAAGGGATGAGAGATAGGACTGGAATGACTTACCCATGTACTCCCCCCCTCGGTCTGAATGCAGGGCCTTCACTTTAAGGCCTGTTTGCCTTTCAATGTAAACTTGCCAAGCCTTAAATGCATCAGGGACTTGGTCTTTTGAGATAAGAAGAAAGACCCATGCAAAGCGCGTCTTATGATCAATGAGTGTCATAATGAAGCGCTTGCCTGTGCGACTGAGTGTGCGAGCTGGACCAACAATGTCACTGTGGACCAACTCTAGGGGACTTGACACTTGCACATTGATAGGGGGATGAGGATGATGTGCATGCTTTGCTTCAACACAGGTGGGACAAGAAGATGAGGATGATGATGACTGTGAACTTGAGGTGATGCTGAGGCCTTCCAGGCTTGCATGAGCTGTGATTGACTTCATGGCTGACGCTCCTGGATGACCTAGACGATAATGCCACATTTGGGGAGTAGTGGCCGTACCTGGGTGTGGTCTGACGGTGGTTGCTGCAGCGGCAGTGTAGCCATGGAGGCGGCGGTACTTCGGGTTCACATCGAGTTGGAGGCGGTAAAGGCGTCCCGCTCGCTCACCACGTGCAATGACGAATCCCGACTCTGCGCGAATCTGCACAAAACCACTAGTGAAGGAAATAGTGCAACCTTTCTCCTCGAGTTGCCCTACTGACAACAAGTTGGCTCCAAGGTTGGGGACCAAGAGGACACCTGCGATGGAGACAGGCTTGCCAGCAGGATTGAGAAAGGTGAGTGTTCCTTCGCCTGCAGTGGGGGACTCCATGTTGGCAACTGTGACTGACGGGATTGATGTGGGGATAAGGGAATGAAGAAGAGAAGAGTTGGGTGTCATGTGTTGGTCACACCCACTATCCAAGTACCAGAAGCTGGGATCAAATGAAGATGGAGGAGTAGAGGTTGTCATGGCAAAGCTGATGCCTTAAGTAGTGCCTTGGGAGGAAGAAGAGGGGGCAGAGTTGGGAGTCGTAAATTGTGTGGCCTGTTGAGGCATAGATGGGTAGGCTTGCATTGGTGGAGGGTAAAACATTGGGTATGACTGCATTGGGTAATAGGAGTAGGGAAAGGGTTGCTGGGGAAATTGATGTGGATTGGAGGGGTGAGTTGAGGGGAAGTGAGCAGGCTCTGATTGAGAGCTCACAGCATGAGATAGAGCAGCTCTACCCTTGGCTGTAAGCATGTGAGGTGGAGGGGTCCAATTAGGCGGCTTACGAGGGCACTTGAACCAAGGATGTCCCCATTCATGACAGAAATGACATGCAAAATTGAACTTACCAGACTGAGGCTTGGAGAACTGGGATGAACTTGAAGAGAAGGATTGGTTGGGAGATGTATTGGATGACAGAAACCGACCTAGAATAGACTGGTTGGAGGGCTTACTCGGTTGTGATTGCAAGTTCTTACCTTGGTTGTTGTTGTACTTGCTATGACCTTGAGTAGACACAGCAGCGGCCCACACTGGCTTGTTGTTCTCTTCCTTCGTCTTGGCTAGCGCGC